GATCTTCCGAGGAGATCTGCAAAGAATGGGAAATAGCCGTTTCAACTGGCTTGAGACCCACGCACTACTCTTCGACCACTACCTCGTGCTCGCAAAAACAGTTTCTTTCAGAGAGGCGGATGGCGTTACCAAGTCTGAGAAATATGACGTATCTCGGCTGCCAATTCCTATGGATTTGCTCGTGCTTGAAAGCGAAGACGACGATCCCGTTGTACGTTCAACGATGAAGGGTATATCCACGGTCACGGCAGTCCCGGGTCGAGTTGCTGGAACTGGTGCACGCCTCACCGGCAGTCCTGCTCCAGGCACTTTGCAGCACGTCACTACCAACTCCTCTCTTGGATCCTCAAACACGGGTAGTTCTGGAAAGACCCTTGTCAATGCCCCAACAATTGACGCCAATAAAGATGAGAAGGTTCTATATCCGTTCCGAGTGAAGCACCTTGGCAAGGAGACTTACACCCTATATGCTCCAAGCGCACAAAACCGAGCCGAATGGTGTGACAAGCTCATCATTGCAAAGACACGACACGCCGCGGCTCTCTTTGCCCAGAACGCAGAGCCTTTCAGATTACGAGTGATGGCTGATGCTGCATTTGCATACGACAGTGCTATGCCATCTCAAAGAGCCATAACCATCAAGGGAACGCCTCTGGACCGGGCTGTTGACGAAGTAGAGAAGCTCTTCGTTAACGTTGGCCGTCCGGTCCCCATCTGCCGAGCGAGGGTCAATTGTGCCACGGCCTTTACCCAACCTCATGGCAAACACATGGTGGCGGTTGGTACAGATATTGGTGTATACGTGTCCGACTTTGATAACCCTAGAGGCTGGTCAAAAGTAAGTCATGTCTCTATACTTGGAAAGATGAAGCTAACAAATTCAGGCCATTCAAATACCGCGAGTAACGCAGATTGCGGTCCTCGAGCAGTTCGGTTTAATGCTCCTCATTTCTGACAAGGCGTTGATTGCATACCACTTGGATGCTGTATGCCCACTCAGTGGCATAGCTCCTTCAAACGACTCGACCCGACGCGCTCCTCAAAAGCTGTCGGGCGCGCGCGACATTGGCTTCTTCGCCACTGGTGTGATGAAGGACAGGACCCTGGTCTTCTACAAGAAGCGCGACGGAATCTCATCAACCTTCAAGGTTCTCGAGCCGGTATATCAGAAATCCACAGAAAAGAAGTCCAGGATATGGAAAACTGGCCGTACTGAGTTTTTCCGCGAGTACGACGAGTTCTACATCCCGGCTGAATGCTTCACCATCAATCTTTTCCATTCCTCTCTCGCCATCTCCACATCAAAGGGCTTCGAGGTACTCACTTTGGACAAGAAACAGCCATGGTCGGTGCCAGACCTAAAGCAACCACATGTCGCCACTATTGCGTCGCGACTACAAAACCAAGTCCCATTGGGCATGTTCCGCCTCTCGGACCAAGAATTCCTTCTTTGTTACGAGGAGTGTGCGGTATACATCAACAAGAACGGTGATATCTCCCGCTCGGTTATCATGGAATTTGTCGGCAAGGCAAAGAGCGCTGCCATGTACGGACCGTATGTGTTGCTCTTCGACCCCGACTTCGTTGAGATTCGCAACGCACAGAATGGCAGATTACGCCAAGTGATTGCTGGGCGTGATGTCAAATGTTTGGATGATGGACTCAGCGGAGGTTCATCGCACAACAGGACAGTGAAGCTGAGCTTGCAACATCCGTACCATGAAAGGAGTCAAGTTGTCGTTGAGTTGGTGCTCAACGAAGGTCAAAAAGAGTAACACGGTAATGTTCTGCATATTATACAAGCATTCGGCTTGGATAGGGTAGATTATGTTTGTGCCACATTCAGACATGGTGAAGATGGTGGAGTATGGGGTTTAGGAATTTGGGTCCTTGTTTGGAGCGGAAAAACAGCATCGCCTCTATTGTTAATGGCTTTGTTTGTTGCTTAGTGTTGAAAGAGAACGGGTTGATTGTCTCCCACATCACTGGTATTAAGTGAGATATTCTGCTGTTGCCGATGACAGCATGTTGTTAATAGTTGTACCTTTTTTTTTCTTCATTCTTCTCAAGTTCGCGAGCATTTATTTTACATATTCTTGATTTGCTCGATTCATGGGACGGAAATCTTTTTTTTTCTGCTGCATCGACCTAATACCCAGAGATAACCCCCTTCGGCGAATAGCAACGTTGTTACCTACTTTTGGGTATCTTTCTTTTTTTCTGGTGAAACATCTCTTGATGTAGTGAGAACAACAGTGATAACGGGAAATAAGAAAAGAGGAACACAATGAGTTATATACACAAGGTATTTTTTTATGATTTTCGGAATTTGTGGTACACGTTCTCTGCGGTTTCCACTTCGATTTCGTTGGGCGATGTATACGCAACACAAAACTTGGCCCTGCCCTCTAGAGTCTGTTCGATAGCATCTCCTCAGCTAAACTACTGATTTCTCTAAACAGGAACAAAGCGCAATAACAGGCGTGCATGCCGCCCTCCTAGCATGATCCCAAACACCCTTGCCCCTCGTCGTTCTCTAGAAGCTTAATCTCTGTAATTTATATCACAACTGTAATTATATTAATGGTAGATGCAACTTGAAAGTAGATGGCCATGTCTAGGCTTTGGGCATGATATTGCAAGATAGGGAATTATGTTTCAATGAAGCCTTTGAGCAGCAAGAAGGATTGAGTGACACTACGCATCGGGATGAAAGATGGTACTTATCAAGGAGCACTCTGGATAGGTGATGGGAATGAGATTACATAAAGTGAATTCATTACGTCATGCGCTAGGTTGCATTACTTTGGGGTATGTGCTGACCTGCTTCCACACATCTTCGCCTCCAGGATCAGCATCTATTAGATCTCTCCACTGCCTTCCATTCAGATGGAAGGAGAACAAATCACCTCCAACCACACTCTTAAGTCCCGGGAACGTCTGACGGTTGTTGTAGCTAACCGCAGTTCCGACCCAGCGTCACTACCACCTTCCGAGCTCCGCTCGGCCCTAGTGTTGAGACAAATGAACACACAGCGTGAATCATCCGTTCCGCTGCAAGGCTCGAACTCCTAACTTCGGCGTCCCATGAGGGGCCGGTTTACTGGCGAGCCGCTTGTCTTGTTCTTCCTTGGACAGCGTATCCCATTCAGCTACATTCTTGTCCTTCATGGCGGTCAGTACATTGTCAAGAGGTTAAGCTACCTGCGACACTACTCACCCATTCGGCTACACACTCTGGCTTCCAGTTGCATTTTTCTACCTCTCCATACATGGGATGATTTCGTCGGGGATGAAGAGTTGGCCAGCCCGAAGCGTGATAATGGTGCTTTACTAGTGCACCCCTGGAGTCGTGGTTGCCAGAGTCAGAGTGTCCTTGACCAGCTGCAAAAGCTTCGACGTTAAGCACGAGAATTCCGTTGACGAGTCTCGATTCTGCTAGATTGTGGAAGAGATCCCAAGTGACTGGGTTTCCATGGTTCTGTGCCGTCATTTGTTCCAAGACCGCTTTGGTAAATGCAGATGGACCGGTACCACTTATTACTTCGTCAAAATCCAATTGGAGCTGCGATATAGGTACCTCTTTCGCTTTGGCCAGCTCGTGTAACCAATCTTGAATATTTTCGATAAGTCGCATCATAACCGGAAGCCGGGGTTTGGCGGCAAAAGTCCACTGGCAAAACGACTTGCATTTGGATCCGAGAATCTCGTGGTTGGCAAATGTGGGCTCGTCGATTTCCACTCCGATGATCATGTCAACGTCTGGCTCGTTGTAGCGCTCGGGAATGAACCTGTTGATGGGCCGTAGGCACTCCACATCGATGTCGGCGTATACACCACCTTCGGCGTACATGACGAGGTATCGAAGGAGGTCAGCTTTTATTATGGTGATGTTTAGTTCCCGGTATAGGTCGACGAGATCCTTTCGGTCAAGGCCGTGTGGCCCGTAGTGCCACTCGAGATAGTCGTTTGCGTTATCGTCTGTCAACACCTCGTACCGGTACGTAGGGTTTTTCTGAACCCAGGTCTTGGCCGAGTCTGAGTCACGCTGCTCAAAGCCCAGAGGACCAACCTTCCATGTCTGCCATATCTTCTTTGGAATCAACGAGCCAACTGGCTGTAGCGGCTGCTGATATTTGAGCTCTCGCTTATATCTGCTCGCTGCTCGGATCGGGGTTGTGAAGAGCTCGGTATTGGCAAAGAACAAGAAGAGGAAGATCAAAGCAATATATGCAGGCAAGACTCTCCGCACTTGACTGGTGAGCTTGCCTGAAAATTGTGTCACTATTGGAGAACTTGGACGCATCATAATCTTCAGACTGAGCTTGGGCGGAGGTGGCCTTGATCGTGTGCGCATGCTGGAGTTATTACACCATTGGAAACCTGCCAATTTGACCCAGCCATTCCGTAACTATTATCGATCGTCTCAATACATTACCGGGGATACGAGCGTCTGGCCGAGAGTGTACCCATGCGACCGCGTCGACCAATACACGTCTTGCCTTCACCCTCGGCATAACAATTTCTTTTCACATGCAGGGGCAGCCCCACGGAAACGCACGTAACCCCGCATATGCCCTTGAGGCTAAGAGTCTATCCTGATAAACTAGGACTAGTACAACGGGTGGGTTAAAGCTTGTAAATTCTGACCCCTGTACGCTTATCGGCCGCTTGGACATGTTAGGTATCTGCCCCTTGATAGCCCCCGCATTGCATCTCGTGAGTAAGAGATATTTGAGGCATGTCGCCGGATTCAGTAATGTCACAATCCAAGCTGTCCGTGCCCAAGTGCTGCTGCCGAACGATGCCGGCTTGATCGCGCTCATCTGAGGAATCCGTCACGCTTCGGACGAGTTGTGCGAATCCTGCAATCGGCCATCAATTGCCCACTTTATTACAATCCTGAATATCTAGGGTCCCTTCGAGTACCCAGTGTTGCTCGCTCCCATCTCAATTCCTGGGATCCCTCAATTGTAATTACTTTTATTCCACCGCCAAAAATGCCAGTTAAATACAACGGGTTGCTGGACCAAGATGGGATCGAAGAAATCAAACTTTCACCATCGATCTGGAAGCCAGTTCGAACGGCCAAATGGGGCCTCGACGTTGTACGCCCGGAATTTCTCTCCTTACGGCCGACCTCCAAAAGCAAGCCGATTAGGCCAACAGCGTGGCTGGATGGCCTAAGAGGCTTTGCTGCACTCCTGGTCTATCTACAGCACCACCAGCTCTGGGCTCACGGGGAACGTGGTAACTCTGTCTTCGAACACGCCTACGGCTATGATGGAAAGCATTATTTCGCAACCTTTCCATTCGTACGCATCTTCTTCTCTGGCGGCCACTTTGCTGTTGCTGTCTTCTTCGTCATATCCGGTTATGTGCTCTCTCTCAAGAGCCTACGCATGATCCAGGACGGCCATGCTGTCAGTGCTGCAGACAGTATCGGTTCTGCTCTCTTCCGCCGTTGGCTACGACTTTTCCTGCCCGTCATTGCGGTCACTCTCGCATTCATGTCTATCCGTCAATGGAGTGGATTGTGGGTTGATCTGCAGCCAATGGAAGAGACGTACTGGAAAGAACTCATCAGATGGTACCGCATGTTCAAAAACTACAGCTTTGTCTTTTCCACCGAGATCTATGACTTTGCTATACAGTTCCATGCGCATGTCTGGTCGATCCCTATTGAATTCAAAGGATCCATCATCATCTATACCGCACTTTCCGCATTCTCCAGGTGCACAAAGAATGCCCGGCTCTGCTGCGAGGCCGCTTTGATATTCTACTTTCTCTACATTGTAGACGGCTACTACGGCGCAATGTTCATGTCTGGAATGTTGCTTTGCGACCTCGATTTGCTTGCACAGCAGGATAAACTTCCGCGATTATTTTCCGCTCTGGCGAATTTCAAGGAGTTTATCTTCTTCCATATGTTCGTCTTTGCTCTCTACCTCAGTGGCGTGCCCTCCTTTGACGCGCCTGACGCAGATCGCGCTCTTATCCTCACCAAGTCGCCGGGATGGGTCTGGTTATCGCATCTCAAGCCTCAGGCCGTATTTGATGCAAAATGGTTCTATCTCTTCTGGGCGGCATTCTTCGCGGTCGCATCAGTGCCCCGCTTGCCATGGCTCAAGCAATTTTTCGAGACGCGCTTCTGTCAATATCTTGGACGCGTATCTTTTGCGCTGTACTTGGTACATGGGATTGTTATCTGGACCGTCGCCGACCGACTATACGCCTTGGTGGGCCTTGCGAGATCGGCTCATGCCGAAGGAATACCGGAGTGGGTCAACAAATTTCCCTTACCTATCAGTGGCCCACTGGGGCTGGAACTGGCTTTTTGGTTGCTCCAGCCCATTCTTCTATCTATCACACTGTATTTTGCAGAAGTTGTGACAAGGTTGGTCGACGAGCCAAGTGTCAAGTTTACCAATTGGCTTTACAAAAAGACGCTTTCTCAACAGACGAAGCCGGGGCACCAGCGTAGCCAGTCAATACGATGAGATGGTATGTAGCTGCAATCTAAAGTGTCGATATTAAACAAATTATTCTTGGGCCCCAAATCCTTCATCACAATCCTAATCTTCTTGCGATGCTGCCAACATGCGCTGTCGATCTCAATAAGAAAATTCGGCTTCATGTGACCGTTTAGCTCCATTCCGCGGGAGTTGACGTTACGCCACACTACTGCAGGTGCTGAAGGGACGGGGTGTGACACAGCATAGGCGCTCGTCGTATTGACGGTCGAAAAAGGTGCACACCGCCGAGTCATTCTCCATGGGGGGCCTCAGCTCCTAGTCAAGAACCATGGTCCCTGCCCTTGCCGCTGATATTTGCCCTTTCGTCGGCAATTACCAAATCGGGTTTCAACACCGCCAATTATCAATTTCCTTTGCAGACGCAATCCCGTGGCCATGTTGATGGTACCTAGCTCGCAGGGTACGTACGAGAACGCATATCGTTGGTGCCCGCTGCAACCTCGGATGCTTGTGCCTACGTATGCATCTGCGTCCATGCTCCGACTAATACATGTGACGAAGAGGATTCCGACCATCATTTGCTTTTGATCAGACGTCAGAGAGCGCCTGTGAAGTACCAATTTGTCCCTTTACCATGAGGCGGCGGCACAATATTGCTTTGGCTACAATTGCATTCCTCGGTACAATCTTGCTGGTTGCACAGCACCGCAGTGAATACCGGCATGGGCATGTTACCCATGCATCGTATGATACCAAAGAGAGTAATACCGGGATCGAAGTACTACCATCTGATCTAAAGCCTTCTTCACATTCTCATGACGCATCTGGGTCAGGAACGGACCCCAAGGAGCACGTGACCCTACATGACGACGGTTCACCGGCTCAAGGAGTCTCGGAAGGCGATAGTTCGACGACACCTCCTTTGCTGGAAAACCCGTCTCCAGATGGACAAGCCGTCCTGGAACCCGAGTATGCTTTCCAGAAAGACCTCGATCTACTCCTTCCGATCCCAGCCCTACAGCGCTTCAGCACTCACAAACCTCACAACTATGTCCCCGGAGGCACAGAAAACTACGCCTATGCGACTTTCCTAGCAACCCGCAACGCCTCGCTCAAAGACCCCTACTTCCTCGCCATCCACTCCCTCATCTACCGCCTCCTCTGGTCCCCCAAATCCCGCACCCAAAAACACCCCTTCATCGTCTTCGTCGCCGACTTCGTCACTCCAGAACAACGCGCGCTCCTCTCGGGCGCCGGCGCCCTAGTCCGTGAACTCGCGCCCCTCCCCTGGTCCCCCAACGTCACCGGCGTACAATCGCGCTGGAAAGACCTCTTCGCCAAACTACACATGTGGCGAGAAACAGAATTCAGCCGCATCTTCTTCCTCGACGCCGACGCCTTTCCCCTCAGCCCCCTCGACGAAATCTTCACTCTCGTCCCCAAACCAAGCACCTGTATACCCGAGAAACTGCACCTAGACGACTTCCTCGCCGACGGCCCCGTCTGCGAAGACTACATGTTCGCCGGCATCCCCCAGGACCCATTCAACACCGACCACCCCAATATCAACGTCGGAGCTATGCTCTTCACCCCTTCCCTCCGCATGCACCAGCGCTTGCTGCAAAACTACGTCAAGACCGACAAGTACGATTGCAACATGGCCGAACAGGCGTTTCTGAACTGGCAGTTTGGCCCTGCTTCGGCGTTTCCCGCCACGACGCTCGAGAGGAGTTGGGGTGGGTTTTTTCCAAACGAGGAGGACAAGGGCAAGTTGAAGGTGGTGCATGAGAAGATTTGGGTTTTGGAGGGCGGGTGGATGAAGGACGAGTGGGTGCAGGGGTGGAGGGATATGATTGCGTTTTATGAGGCGGACGAATTTGTGCGGGCCAGGGAGGGGGACGGGAAAGTTTGAGGAGGTAGGATTGACAAATATGGCTGTTTGATTGCTTTTTTTTGTGTGTGTAATGTACTTTGGAATGCGTAAAAGGGAAAGATGATAGGTAATGATGCTATGCCAGTGCAATGAAGCTGACTTCCCTGATCATCTTGGCATCTGTGAATCTACTATCCCCACCATGTTACACCACTTCAACTCTTTGCACGATGTGAATTTTGGAATCTTAATATTGACTGACTGATACACAAAACCCTAGACGTACATATATCTACACCACATTACGCGCTAGCCTCAGCCGTACTCTGTCGACCCGCCACACTTCCTCCCTTCCAGCTCTGCTTCGGATCCTTCTTATCCTGTAGCCTACTCTGCTCTCCTTCCCTGCCCCACCCACCACCTCCAGGCGTATGAATAATGATGCGCTCACCAGGCCGCATGCTAGCCGTATTCTTCGCACCAAGATTGATGTATCTATACTCGACGTCTTCCTTTCTGTCCCTCGCAGCATCCTTCTTCTCCAACGTCTCTACATCGCTTGACGTCGTGGGCGCGCGCGGAGCCGATTCTTGCGGCTCAGTCGGTTTTTTGGAGTCTGAGTTCTGGTCGATGGCCTTTTTGTCGACTTTGCGGACCCAAATGTTGAGACCGCAGGCGGCATCGCCCCCGCCTTCCATGCCGTATGGATGGTAGACTCTTCGTTCGCTCAGGATGCTGACTTGGACTGGGATGCGGAACTCAATGTCGCGGATGACTCCTTCGCCCCCAATGTGCATTCCGCGTCCGGCACTACCTTGTCTGAGTGAGAACTCTCGGAGCAGAACAGGGTATCGGCGCTCAAACACTTCCGAGTCGGTGATGCGAGTGTTGGTCATGTGAGTATGCACGCCGCTGGTTCCGTTCCATGTGGGGCCTGCACCAGATCCCCCAGCGATAGTTTCGTAGTACCCAAAACCCTTGGTCTCTTTCCTCTCTCCGCTCTTTGCTCCTTCTCCGAATGTTGTACCACCAAAACCAAAGGTGAGATTGTTGCAGTCACCTTGACTGGCAGCACAGGCGCGGAAGGCTTTCAACACTACGTCTGTGACGCGCTGACTCGTGAGCACATTGCCACCAACAACAGCCGCATTATCCGATGGCGAAAGGAAAGATTTCTTAGGAATGAGAACGTGGATTGGCTTCAAGCAACCTTGGTTCAGTGGGATATCTTCACTGATCAGACAGCGCAGACAGTATATGATGGCCGAATAAGTGACAGCTTCAGGGGCGTTGATGTTGCCGTAAACCTCGGGACCTGTTCCTGAAAAGTCAAAGACGGCTTCGCCCTTTTCTGGGTCAATGGAAACCTTGAGGCGGATAGGGCTTCCATCATCCATGAATTCCTCCGCACTGAGGTCTTGGCCCTCAAAACGCTTGTACACGTCTTTGAGTAATGCTCGTACAGATTTCTCGGCATTGGCTTGGATATTGGTCATGTAGAACTTGACAACTTCCTCGCCGTAGTCGGACATGAGCGTACTGATGAGGTTGATACCCTTTTGGTTAGCTGCGACTTGAGCCTTCAGGTCGTTGATGTTATCACTGAGGCATCGAGTGCCAGAGCATCCAGGATACTGTCCTGGTTCATCGAGCAGTAGCTCGGTGATGCGCTCTTCGTTAAAGTGGCCTTCTGATACGAGCTTCTCTGATTTGATAGCAGCACCTTCTTGGTAGAGTTCCTTGGAAGCCGGAGGCATCGAACCAGGAAGGATGCCACCAATATCAGCATGATGTGCGCGAGATGCAACGTAGAAGACGATGTTGTCACCACTGAAGGCTGGCGTTATAACGGTAATATCCGGCAGATGTGTACCGCCAAACATAGGGTGGTTGGAAACTAGTACATCCCCTTTTTTTAGTTTGCCTTTCCAGATAGCTGCTTGCTTACGGACACAAGTCGACATGCTTCCAAGATGGACAGGAAGATGGGGTGCTATATGTGTGTTAGCGTTGTTAGATATCATAAATGTAAAGCTTACCATTTGCGACTAGTCCGCCATCTGCATCGAAAAGTGCACAAGAGTAATCCAATCGCTCTTTGACATTGGTAGAGACACTGGTCTTCTGAAGGGCGCGACCCATTTGCTCAGCAATAGCCATGAACCTATGAGCGAAGATACTAAGCAGAATTGGATCCACTTCCTTTGTGTCAATCTGTTTTTCTTGGTCTTCGGTCTCACCGATGTTTATCACAACGTGCGTGTTGATGATTAGCGCAGTAGCGCCAGGAGTAACAACGATGGTCTGCGTTCCATCTGCGATGATGGCCGGGCCCTTCAAGCGATCCCCAACTTCAAGGTCTTCAAGCTTGTATACGGAGGTGTCTTGCCGACCGCCCTCGAAGAACACCTTGCGTGTATCGTAGCGCTTTGCGTCACCTTGAAGGTCTTTGGGTTTGATCTCTTTCAGCTGCTGATCGACGCTCTTCTCCAAACCTTCAAAAGTCTTTCCAATGCCTCGTGCTCTGACATCATCCACGATGATATCGCGGTCTGGCAGTGTGAAACCGAACTCTTGCTCGTGTTGCTTGATGAAAGCTTTCCCAAAGGCCCACTCGTCGCCATCATAATCTTCTTGGGCCTCTTCTTTGGTTGGCTTGATAATCATGAGCGCTGACTCGGTTCCTCGGTAGCGCAAGTTGAGGTACTCCTCAAAGTGAATGTGCTCCTCATCGAAACCTTGATCCTTCAGTGTAGCCGTGGATTTACTCTTCAAGTCTGCCATCTTGGCTTGCAAGTATGACCTCACATCCTTTTCATCTGACCAGATCTTCGACTCTGGCTCTTGCCTTTCGTCAACGACATCAGCAAGGGCCATACCGTATGCAGATAGTACTGATGAGTATCTGTGAACAAGAATCTGCGAAATACCGAGAGCCTCAGCGATGGCGACAGCGTGCTGCCCACCGGCTCCACCAAAGGTTGCAAGTCTGTGTTTCGACGTGTCGTGGCCTCGCGCTTCAGTCAAACTACGAATGGGTCGCGTCATAGTCTCGTTTGCGATCTTGATGAAACCATTCGCAATATCATCCAATGACATTTCCTTTTCCTTGTTGCCTCCAGCAATCTCCTTGTTAATCTGATCTGCCAATTCTTTGAACAACTTTTCGCTGGCCTGCGCATCCAGACCCTCGTCCTCGTTCTTTCCGAAGATCTTGGGAAAGAAGTCAGGCAGTAGCCGGCCCAGGAACAGGTTCGCGTCCGTAATGGTCAATGGACCACCTTTTCGATAGCATGCTGGACCAGGGTGTGCGCTTGCCGACTCTGGACCGACAACAAAAAGGCCATTCTTCCAGAAGAGACGCGATCCACCACCGGCTGCAACTGTGTTAATATCGAGTTGCGGCGACTGAATCGTGACTCCAGCAGTCGTAGTCTCAAAAACGTGATCGTAGCGTCCAGCGCCATATCGGCTGACATCAGTACTGGTACCACCCATATCGAATCCAATAACGGGTATCTTGGTCTGTGGGTCATAGGAAGTTAGTGCATAGCCTACGACTCCACCAGCAGGTCCCGACAGGATGGCTTTAAGGCCCGAGAACATGTCGACATCTACAAGACCGCCGTCAGATTGCATGAACTCGCATCGCGCGCCCTTGGAACCTTCTTCGCGCTTTACGCTTTTGGTACCAAGACCGCCCTCAAAGCCCTTGGAGAAGCCATCAATGTACTTTCGTATCGCGGGTGTTAGATAGGCATCTGCGCATGCAGAGGTTGCTCGTGGAACCAGTTTAATCATAGGCATGAGCTCGTGACTTAAGCTGACATGCTCAAACCCGATTTCCCTTGCAATTTTGCCTACTAGTGCCTCATGCTTCGGATATGTGTAGCCATGCATCAAACACACAGCTATGCTCTTTAACCCACTATCATACACCTCTTGGAGTTGCTTTCTAATTGCTTGTTCCTGCGGCCTTTGTAATATGCGCACTGTCTCGCCGGACAATCCTTTGACTAACTCAGCTTCGTCGCCAGCCTCCTCAATACTGGCGGCTTGTGTCTGATTCCTTTCTGGGTCCTCGGCATAATCTTCCAGCGTAACACGCTCATCAATCTCTACCACCTTTTTGTAGAGTACCTCTGGCTTCCGGATATCCAGGGCGAAAATATTGGGTCGGCTTTGGTTGCCAATCTCGAGACAGTCCTTGAAACCCTTTGTCACAACCATGGCGATATCCTCGCCCTTGCGCTCCAGCAGCGCATTCGTAGCCACTGTTGTGCCCATACGTATACTCTCAATCTTGGAGGTGTCGAGGGGCTGTCCCCGAGGGATTTCGGTGCCTGTAAATCTGGAAAGAAGGCGACGGATACCTTCGAGGGGCGCGTCATCGTAGTTGGATGGGTCAACAGAAAGAAGTTTGATGAGAACATCGTCTTCCATCTTGCCCGTGCCGGGATTGCCCACGCAGTCTGTAAATGTACCGCCACGCTAAACATTCAATAATCAGTGCTATATTCTTAGAAACCAAGGGAAAATGCTTCGTACGTCAATGGCAATGCGGATTCCCCGCTGTGCAATCTTTGGCGCAGCCATGGTTGCCTAGGAATTATGTCGCGCGCACGAAATGCGAAAGTGATTGTTAGATAGACCCTGGAGGCTTGAAGGTCATCAATTAACAGAGGCGAAAGCCAAACCTAAGAATGAGCGAAGAATGATGCCGAAATGCGATATGACACGATATGCAGGCTGGACGCGGCTGCATATACGCTCCCAGCGAGAGCTTTAAGTGGGGTACGCGATGCTACCCCGCGGCGGCTTTTGTCATCCAAATCATGTCATCGTGGTAGCTTGAGCTTGATGACATCTGCTACGCTATCTGCACACGCCACTTCCGACATTAGTGGGCCTTGTCGGCCTTGTCGGGAATTCTTTTGCACACTATTTACCTGTTGATAAGGGCTCTGAAATGGTCGGTTACCGAGCCATTGGCGCGATTGAACAAAATGTTTTATAAGAGTTTTGGAACGTGTAGCACTGCAATAACCTAATCCCTGTTTTGGTCAACGACTATCATTAAAAAGTAGTTCTAGGGAGGACTTGAACGAGTTTGGCAACGCGAAAAATCACTATATGGTAAGAAATAGGACTAGGGAAGCTCAGACGCCACCGCCAGGTATCAAATTTCTGAATCTAGCATGCTCAAACAGGAATTTTTGGAGCACAACCTAAGGTCGGAATGATGCGCGGTCTTCTGCCGTGGTGTATTCGCGCATCGCTTTAGATCTGGTGGGCCCTTTTTACAGTTACAAGGGTGTTGGGAATTCCTTTGAATTTCCCGATCGATAGGGCTACGCAACAATCTAATTGGAAATAAGATCATTTCCTTTGCACTTGTTTCAATCAAATAAGTGTCTTGTGACTCCTTGGTATTCTATTCTTATCATAATTCAATTATTCAAGAGATGGGGTCCATTAGTGAAGTCAATACCGCGTGCGGTATGCCCACGGTATAATCCAACTTTGAACTGAAAACAGAAATATAGCTGAGATGAAAATGTAGAGCTGGACAAGATTAATACGTTTTGTCGCCGAGGAAGACAATTTCGAACACCTCGGTGAACCTCTCGATGCAAATATCGACGGTAAATAGCCTGCCTGACAATCTTTCACATCTGCTGATACAGTATAGTTGGTGCAGCTCTAGCGTTTGGGGAGAAAGTTCAAGCCCGCGTCTTCACAGAAACGTCTGTTCTCTCGTTACAAAACAAGCCCACAAGCACAGTCCTCACAGTTTTGAGATTACTTCCGCCACTCTCAAAGTCGGAAGTAGGAACTATCCGCTGCATAGGCTTGAACTACCGGAAGCATGCAAAAGAAATGAATCTGGATCTTCCCAACCACCCTACACTCTTCTTCAAGCCTTCAACATGTTTGGGCGCTCCGAACGCTCCACTGTTGATACCGCATCAAGCCACCGATGGCCAAGCAGATTATGAAGCCGAACTCGCAGTCATCATAGGCAAAGCCGCGAGGAATGTCACCAAAGATAACGCAATGGAGTACGTCCTGGGCTATACATGTTCCAACGATGTGACAGCCCGAGTCCATCAATTCAATGGCGCCCAGTGGAGTTTTGGAAAAGGCTTTGATGGATTCGCGCCGCTAGGTCCTTGCCTCGTATCTGCCGCTGCAATACCCGATCCTGGTCAAATCGAGCTGAAGACCATGCTGAATGGCGAAACGATGCAATATTCTCTTGCAAACGATATGATATTCAGCATTTCGGAAATCGTGGCATATCTCAGTCAAGGAACGACGCTGGAGCCGGGTACAGTAATCATGACTGGCACACCACATGGTATTGGAGTGAGCAAAGTACCAAAGGTGTGGTTGAAACCTGGGGATGATTTGAGAATTGTAATGAGCCATGGTATGGGAAGTCTAGTGACACCAATTGTTTACGAAGCGCAGCCCAAGCTCAGATAATTCAGAGAAACGCTCAACTCATTCAACCCGAAACATAGCTAAAATGTAGTAGTCGAATTATATTTGTCCGGTGCATCGTTGGTCAAAAGCTTGTCAAAATGAACTCGGGATTATTGAAACCCGAAAAGCATCTGTTCCTGAGTGATACTGTCAAGAACATGCTCCCATTGCTGCAGATCTGTAGATGGATCGCCCCAAGGAGGCGCTTGCCATTGGAAGGGACCTCCTGCACCGAAATTGAGTAAACCTGGTACTGCCTCTGAGCTGTCTATCGTTTCTGGCGAGACAAAGTTGTTGGCATCATTCTGTTCTCCCGCATGCGCAATAGCTGGAGGATCTACTGTCGTACTATAGCGCGCTCCAAGTGATGTACTCGCTCTATTACTGCTGCCACGGTTTTCACGAAATTGCTTCGACTTCTTGATGCAAAGCTCAATGATCTTGACTTCGGCAAGTGCAAACTCATTGAGCCAAATGTCTCCGCGTTGCATGTCGCAATAGGCAGTGAGGTCTTCTAATATCGCGTCACATTGGTACGAGTGAGGATCTTTGACGGCAACGATTCCTAGGACTAGCGCGCTGTTAAATAGATGATGAGGTCCCAAACTCCATTTCAGCCGATCGTGCAAGGGCTGCTGGAGATAGTCGATACGCATTCCAAGGTCGGCACAAGCCGATGAGATGCAGGCATCATGGCTGTGTCGAAAACGATTTGTAATACTTTGGCGCAGTAGATATGGTCGATGGAGTGTAACGCGGGCAAAGTGGTACATGGAGTGGAGGTATAAGCGATTCCAAGGTATAAATGGGTGGACACCATCTTGTGAAGTATTAAAGTCTTTGATGCGATAGTACTCAGGTAACTTGGCTGCCCATTCGAGAATTTCCCGATCAAGGGAAAGAACAGTATCGTACGAGGAGGTCGACAGGCCGAAGCAGCGTTCTTGAATGTTACCAATAATTTTTGCCAAATCATGAGCTAAGAAATTATAGACACTGAGGGTGGGCTCGGAAAGTGGCAGTACGGGCAGAGCCGCAGCACGTTCTTCTGGCTCACCATCTAGCCAGACATTGGTTGCCCGTTGGACGAGGCATTGCTGATCGACGATTGCAAATGGACGGCCAATAGCCAGTGCAATTGTCTTATCCAGGGTATACAAATGGCTCCAGAGTCGCCTCCGAGTCTCTGTCTCCTTTCGCGGCAGTCGCCATCGTTCGCCATCGATGTGCATACCTTGTGCTTGGGCCATGCGCATAGCGAAACTGGTCGTCAACCAAGACTCTGGGACTCGTCGCATGTGGATGAGATAGCGTGTTACCAAGACGCCAGCGCGGACAAGATCCGTCGACTCGCCGTAAAATGTTGGTGCAATCACAATGGCTCGTCGGGAGGCCCAATAGAAGCGAAGAGATGTTTCCTGCAAGTCTCGCTGAACTTCAGCATTCCTCGGTTGCGGGCAGTCCAGGAAGACGCCATAAGCAAGGACGATGAATAGCAATGCCAACCAACGCAAGTCAATGGACGCGTAGTCGTCGAAGCCAAATTTGCGCTCCCAAAACTCGGCATATTTGGCCTTGAACGAAGCAGGATGGATTGCATCAATGGTCCAGTTGAGCTCGACAATAAACACATCAACCAGCCGGTCAACACTGGCTTTGTTTCGAGGCAATATTCCCAGTAGATCCCAGATTTGTGAAAAAGGGCCACCAACGTCTCGGAAAGACTGTGCTGAAGCTGATGCGTGGCGAATTCCAGATGAGAGATCTGGTGCAGGTTCTTCGATTATCTTGGCTGCAGCCTGGGGTCCAAAGTAAGATGAACCGAAGAAGGAAGGGGCATCTCTGCTCCGAAAGAGATTCCCGACCTGTGCATCTCTGGGTTCTGGTGAAATCCTGTTGCATGATGCAACAGCCTGGGTACCTTGGTTTGATGTTAGCCAAGAGATTTTGGTACAAAATGTTGATAACCTATTTGCAACTTACTTCCGACGGTGCCAGTGCTGTTTTCAGCGACCGTTTCAGTGTTGCTCAAGTTAGAGACATGTACTGATTGCTGGCGATGGGCCTCGGCTTCTTCGCTATATGTGCAGTCCGATGCTACATCGCGTCGTGTGCAGTTAAAGCATGGCAGTTCTCCATCACACTATACCTCTGGTCAGTCGTTGGTCGCTTGCTCTGTCATAATAAGTTTGGGGCCATGGAGCGTCCAGTGTATCCCCAAGTAGACCATCATGAGTCTTGGAGCTCATGAGGTTCTTCCAGACGACGTCATAGCTAGAATTCCCGATTATGTCATACGTGCCTTCTGTTTCCTCCTGTGGCACGTTGCACAACTCTTGGCCTGTCTTCCTCTCTTCCTCTTCTTTCTTAACGGCTCACTGTCAGTTCTCTCCACTCGGTCTCCGGCACGCTCATCCATTGTGGAACACGTCAATACCCAGATGATGTAGAAGAATTTGCCGATAAGTATCCGCTTGAAACTGATACGACAACGCGACCAGGTTCGCGATATACATACGGTTATCTTATCCGCAGTGCATGTTACAGTGGGTCGTTGCGAGTTTAGCGTGCATCCACCACCCAGATTGGCAAGGCGGGCGACATCCCCGCGTCGGCCAAATGTCTATCATAGATCGGTAAATACACTCGATAGACCATCATGCCCACACCTGATATTATGATGTTGTATATCTGTAGCGAATGCGCCCATATAGGCATTCGACCTCATTTTGGGTTTCAATCACGTCTTTTGCGCCATGTCGGATTCAATGCATGACGCTAAAGCCACAGATGGCTCGCTTTGCGAAAAGGATATCCAAGCTGGATCAAGCGAAGAAATCCAAATTGATCCAATCGCAGAGAAGAAGGTAGTCGCTTGTTGTGTTTCGCCCAAAGCTGTGTACTGACCAAACAGCTTATCCGCAAATTGGACCTCATCCTGTCACCTATGATGGTCATAGTGTTCTTGGTACGAAACCTCACTTCTGTCAGGTTATCCTTCACAGTTAACAAATTCATCATAGGTGGCTTACCTTGACCGTTCCAACATCGGTATGTAATCCCCCTGGTTTGGTCATGATGCTGCTTTCGCTAATTGATACTAGGAAATGCTGCTATTGCAGGCATGAATGAAGACCTAAACCTTACCGGCAACCGTCTCAATGTCGCTGTGACACTTTTCTATGTGACATATATTGCATTCGAACTCCCTTCGTCACTTCTGCTAAAGAAACTGCGTCCGTCTCGTCTGATTCCTTTTTTCATCATCAGCTGGAGCGCTGTCATCATTGGGGCTGCATTTGTCAAGAATTATGCTTCTCTCATTGCTACCCGCCTCCTCCTAGGTGTGTTTGAATCTGGACTATTTCCATGCCTCACGTTGTACCTCAGTATGTACTACAGGCCTCTGGAGCAAGCTCGAAGGGTATCATATCTCTTTGTTGCATCTGCCTTGAGCGGAGCTTTTGGTGGACTACTGGCGTACGGCTTGACAAACCTGCATGGCGCAAGAGGTCTTGCTGGGTACGTGCTCCGCTATTCAAATAGACCTTAGACGATGAACTGATAATCACTTAAGCTGGCGTTGGTTGTTTCTCGTCGAGGGACTCATTTCGATTGTTGTAGGATTTGCAACGATTTTCCTTCTTCCGGACAACTTTGAGACGGCATGGTGGCTGAACGAGGACGAAAAGGCGCTCCTTCGGGCTAGACACGAAAAAGAACGACTTTATCAAGGAAAATCGATGACAACGGATGCCATGGATAAAACCGAGGTCAAACTAGCATTCAAGGATCCCAAGCTATGGCTGAGCGCTGCTTGTCAATTTTGCGCAAACACATGCTCCTTTGGTTTCTCGACGTTCCTTCCTGTAATTATCCGTGGGTTCGGCTACTCAAGCATCCGCACTCAGCTTTTGACAGTACCTGTGTACATCTGGGCCTCGGCAGTTTACCTCTTCATAGCTTTCTGCTCGGACTATGTCAACCGCCGCGCCTACTTCATGATTCCTTTGGCTCTGGTCACATCCATTGGTTATGCTATGATGCTCGGAGTCTCAATGGCGTCAACAGGCGTACTATATTTTGCAACGTTTGTTACGGCCACCGGCATCTTTTGCTGTGTTGGACTCAACGTTACATGGGTCATCAACAGTAATGCCGGATACTTCAAGCGCGCTACTGCTATTGGTCTGCAACAAGCCATTGGTAATTCAGCGGGTATCATGGCTGGTCAGATCTACCGCATCTCCAATAGCGATGGTCGATACGTAATTGGCCATGCGGTATCCATCTGCGCAATCACAGTGGCAGCTTGTGGGTACGGCATCATGTACATTGTGCTTCGCAGGATCAACAGAAAGAGAGAGAGAATGACTATTGAAGAGAGGGTCAGGGAGATTGACTCCGGAAAACTGGGCGATCGTCACCCGGATTTCCGTTATACTTTATAGGTTACTAATATCATAGTTCGGTATATCATAATAGACACATTGGCAGTTCAAAAATGGCTTCTTTTTGTTCATTTCGTATTTCTACACCTACGGTTTTGCATTGATTCCCTTGAACGTCTTCGTGATGTTGGTAATAGCCTCCTCGACTGGTAATCTCTCCATGGAGCTTGCACCATAGAAACCGTGCACACCCTTCGTCCGACTAATAACATACTCTGCATCCTCTGGCTTCGCAATCGGACCACCATGGCACAGGATAATAACATCATCCTTGATCTCCGTCGCCGCATCCCGAATCTCCTGAATCAACTTCACACACTCATCCAGACTCTTCCCCGTCGCCGCCCCAATACTCCCCGACGTAGTCAACCCCATATGCGCAACCAACACATCCGCTCCCACACTTGCCATCTTCTTTGCCTCCTCCACATTAAACACATACGGCGTAGTCAAAAGATCCATCTCCCGCGCCATCTTAACAACCTCGACCTCAGCATCATATGACATACCCGTCTCCTCGAGATTCTGGCGAAACGTCCCATCGATCAAGCCCACAGTAGGGAAATTCTGGATCCCCGCAAACCCGAGATCCTTGAGCTGCTTCAGGAAACGCGACATGTCGCGGAAAGGGTCCGTGGCGCAGACACCTGCGAGCACGGGTGTTGATTTGACAATGGGGAGCACTTCACCGGCCTGTGAAAGTATCAATCTCTCATCCATTCTTTTTTCCCTTACCTCTCAAGAGGGGGGAATTGGGTTGGAGTTTTTTTTTAAAAAAAATGTTAGACTTACCATCTCAAGCACTACATCATTCGCATTACCGTACGGCATCAATCCAGCCAGCGACCCGCGCCCCGCCATGCGGTATCTCCCGCTGTTGTATATTATTATCAAATCACCACCACCTGCTTCGATGAATTTGGCACTGAGGCCGATACCCGCGCCAGCACCGACGATGATGTTTCCATTTTTGATTTGAGAACGGAGGTTCTGGAGGATGGATGTGCGGTCTGTAGGTGGAGACATAGTTAATATGTTCCGAATAATCGAACTGCGGAAGATTAGGCAATTTTGTGATTTTGAAGACGATTTGCGGCGATCACGTTGGGTTCTAGGGACGATTGAGGAAGTGTAGTAGAATGTGATGACGTCATTTCTAGCGCGGGGGATGCATGCATTCATTACATGAGGATGACTACTTGGGACCCACTGGCATTTCCGTGGAGTTGAGTTTACCACCCCCCTATTCCTCATCTATATCTATCGTCATGTCTCCTTCACCTTGCGTTGCACTCATTGGGACCTGTGATACGAAATTGGAAGAGTTGCTTTTTCTACGTGATAGCATTCAGCGGAATGATGCCAGTGTAGTTCTTATTGATGTTGGCCGCAACCCCGTCGAACACGGAGCTATCGATACTACCCAACAGCAGCTATTGAATGATTTTGGCAATGGGGAAAAAGTCGGTGATCTGCCACGAGGCGAGGTTATCAAGGCCATGGCGGGCTGTACTACAAAAGCCGTCAAGAAGCTTTACGAGGAAGGAAAAATACATGGCTTGATCAACGCAGGGGGCTCAGGTGGCACATCGCTCGCTGCAGAAGTAATGAGAAATGCTCTGCCTATCGGCTTTCCGAAGCTAATTGTTTCAACCGTAGCGAGCGGCGACACGGGCCCGATTGTTGGAGAAACGGACATCACGATGATGTACAGCGTTGTTGATGTGGCTGGTTTAAACCAGGTCCTTCGAAACGTTCTCAGCAACGCTGGAGCTGCCATTGCCGGAATGTCTCGGACATTTGCATCAAGGAGTCGGGATACGGCTGAGCTGCAGAAGAAGCGCGTTGGCATTACGATGTTCGGCGTCACCACCCCAGCTGTGGACGCGATTCGAAGGCATTTGGAGGCCGACTACGACATCGAAACATATGTATTCCATGCTACAGGGCACGGCGGAAAGGCCATGGAGCGACTTGTTCGAGAAGGGGGCCTCGATGCAGTGCTCGATCTTACAACGACAGAGATATGCGATCACCTTACCGGTGGTGTCATGAGCGCAGGTGAACATCGCCTGGAAGCCGCTGCCGAGGCTGGGATCCCAAACATTGTATCTGTGGGTGCTGCAGATATGACGAATTTCGGCCCAAAGAGCACCGTCCCAGAACGCTACAAGGACCGCAAGCTGTACGAGCATAACCCAGTTGTGACACTGATGAGGACGTCAGGAGATGAGGCTAGACAATTCGGTGAATTCATTGCGACTCAGTTGAAAAAGCATGCAAAGGATCCACAGGCGGTGCAGATTTGGCTTCCAAAGGGAGGAATCAGCATGATTGCAACACCAGGGGGGCCATTTGAAGACGTTGAAGCTGATGCTGCACTCTTTGATGCTATCAAGAATGGTCTCCAAGGAAGTGGAATTGATATCGTGGAAGACAACCGAGCAATCAACGATGAAGGATTCGCGCGTGATATTGCCGAAGCCTTGGTTGCAAAGATGGGGATTGTGCGTAAAATCACCTGACACGGCTGTAACGGGGCTGTGTCTAATCCTCCAACTGCACGGCCAATGCTATGCTTTTGAAAGGGATTTTGCGGGCGGAAAATAGAACATGTGGGGCTGAAGCTTGGATGGCGAGCCCCTTGATGCCTAGGACAGGCGCCCCTTTGGAGTTAAGGCGTGCTGCATCATTTAACGGCAGAATAACTACTTGTCATTAGCCGTATCGTCAAGCGCCGTAACTCAGGTCCACGCGAGAAGCACTAGAAGAATGTCAAACCGCCCTCTGCCATAATCGGCAGACTAAACTCACGGCTTTTTCGTTCCTTGCAGCCTCGTTTCTTGCCTTTCCGTAACCGCAGTCATTCGTTCAGTGATTTTGCTGCTTTTCACCATGTTTACACGCACAGCTGTGCTATCGCTCGCTCTTTCATGTCTCTATGGCAATGTCGCAACCTTTGACTTGGACATCAACAGTAGAGGTAACATGGCGCGTTTTCTCACGTGCTGAACCAACCCCTAACATTTGCAGATTCAATTGTCGATACTGCAAAGACCCTGGCAAGTGGCATCGTAAAGTTCTACAACGCAAGTGTTTCCGAATCTGGAATCCCTGGCGTTTTCCCCGAGAAGTACTATTGGTGGGAAGCCGGTATCGTGCTGGATGGTCTGATCGGCTATTCGAATTTGACTGGCGACAAGCAATACGACTCGTTGGTCTCGGAAGGTATTCAATGGCAGCGAGGCAACGGCTATGCCTTTATGGCCGTGAACCAGACCGCATCCATGACCAACGACGACCAGTGCGCCTGGGGACAGGCAGCGATGAGCGCTGCAGAATTCGGATTTCCAAAACCAGAGAATGGATCGTGGATAGACGCGGCCATCTCTGTGTTTGATGTCATGACCATGCGGTGGAACACTTCACTTTGTGACGGTGGTCTTTCTATGGCAATCTACAGCTTCAACGTGGGATCCAACTATAAGCACATGGCATCGAACGGAAACTTCTTTCTCCTCGCCTCTCGCCTTGCGAGATTCACCGGCAACGCCACCTACACTGAATGGGCCGAGAAGATCTTTGATTGGGCACATGGAACGGGCTTCATCACGGACGACTACGATATTTACGACGGTGCCGGTGGAGAGGATAATTGCACTGAGTTCAACCAAGTTCAATTTACCTATAATCACGGACTCTTCACTGAGGGCGCGGCTGTCCTATACAACATCGTAAGTACATTCTTATACATGTATCCGAAGAGCGACTAATACCTTTGTTAGACGGATGGTAAGCAGAAATGGGCCGACGCAGTCGAGGGGTTTGTCAATTCTACAACTCGCTTCCTTGAAAATGGCGTTCTCGTAGAGAGCGCTTGCGAAAACAACGGCAAATGCGGCGGGGATCATCGGGCATTCAAAGGCGTTGCTGCTCGTTCCTATGCCCGCGCTGCAGTTGCTGCACCTGATATGACAGGTCCTTTGAAGTTGATGCTGGACAAGTCGGCCGAGGGCGCCGCCAGATCTTGTAGCAAGGCTCAGGGAGAAGACGGGAAGACAGGCGATGTCTCATGCTCGCTGAGTTGGGTACATCAAGAAAGCATATGGGAGTATAACACTGCTAGCGATGGGAACTTGGGTGAGGTATTCGGTGCAATGGAAGCCGTCCAAGGCCTGTTGTACTCACAGACGAAGATACAAAGATCCAATGCTACTGGCAGCCCGGTGGAGGACGGTGCCGGGACGGAGGGAACGGGTGCTGCAGGCACCATGACGGCCAGTATGACGGCCGTCCTGGCTGCTGCGTTTGCCGCGGCTCTGCTGTGCTAGTCACATGGACTTTGTGCATTGTAGTGTAGGAATTCAGACAACAGACCCCGGACTCGATTGTCGTACAGTCAACACGTGATGCGGGTCGAGTTTCCCGAAACGCGCATCCGGTCCCCAGAGAGAGCCAAACGTGCCAAGTCTCGCAAGTGCAGCCAATGGAAGCGGGGCATGTGTTTAGCGGGCCTGGCTTCGGAATGCGACTTCTCTGGAAACATTCCGGCCCACCCGCTGTCTTCCCCTCCCTTTTCTTCTTTTAAACCCTTGGACGCCGGTTCCTACGCGCGTTGACAATGGTATCAGTCATGGATCTCCTACCGTTTGCGGTGGCCTTGGTCGCCATTGTGGGTGGCTACCTCGTATACTCGAGCAGCAGTGGCGGTAAGAGCATCCCAGCACAAGCAAAAGTAACACTCCAGACTAAACCTACCCAGCGTCCCGCAAAGTGCTCAAGCCCACCGAGTTCCAGGAGTTTGAACTCGAGCACAAGCAAGTCATCTCACACAACACGGCCATTTACCGCTTCAAGCTGCCCCGCCCAACTGATATCCTCGGCCTCCCCATCGGCCAGCACATTTCTCTCGCCGCCACGATCCCCGGCCAGCCCAAGGAAGTCGTCCGCTCGTACACGCCCATCACCTCGGACGAAGACAAGGGCCATGTCGACCTCATCATCAAGTCGTACCCCACCGGCAACATCTCCAAATACGTAACCGAACTCAAGATCGGCGACAAGATGAAGATCCGAGGCCCCAAGGGCGCCATGGTATACACTCCTAACATGGTCAGACACTTTGGCATGATTGCCGGCGGCACCGGTATCACTCCCATGTTGCAAATCGCCAAGGCCATTATGCGCGGACGACCAACAGGCGATAAAACCGAGGTCGATCTCATCTTTGCCAACGTCAACCCCGAAGATATCCTGCTCAAAGACGAACTCGATGCGCTCGCCGCCAAGGACCCCAAGTTCCGCGTCCACTACGTGCTCAACAACCCGCCTGAGAAGTGGAACGGAGGCGTCGGTTTTGTTACCGCTGATATGATCAAGGAGAAGCTTCCAGCCCCGGCCAAGGATGTCAAGGTTCTGATTTGTGGGCCTCCACCTATGGTGGCCGCTATGAAGAAGGCGACTGAGAGTCTGGGATTCGAAAAGGCGAGGCCCGTTAGTAAGCTGGAGGATCAGGTTTTCTGCTTCTAAGCTGGTTGTTCCGTTGCAACGCTTGACGTGTTGGCCAAAGAAGATGTATAGCATGAGATTATGAAGGTTTTAACTCTTGTCATTAATCTGAATTGGCAGTGTAACGCAAAATTCGTTGTGCTATTTATTAAAAACACTTTCAAGTATACGTGCCCACTTGTTCAGAATCCACCAGGGTTAATATTTTTTTTTTCAATTTCTACATTTGACACGTTCAGCTCAGAATTGCATCATACGTTATCGAATTATGTTCTATCAATGCATGCGTACGCAAAAAAAGGCATATCATGCAATCCCAACTGCCCTCAAAAGTCGCCCTTCTCCAGCCACCCTTTTCCTTTGCAAGAGAAATTCATGTATGTAATTCGGGACTTATTGAACCCGCCAAACAGACAGTGCACGTTTATGAAACGCACGAACGGGAGAAAAAAGAGAGAGAGAAGAAAAGAAAAAAAAACAAGCTCTACAAGGCGCAAAAACCACGTAATTCATTCCAATAGTTGTATTTCTTTTTTCTTTTCTCCTCTCAGTCTCTCGTTCCGTCCCTCTTTTCCTTCTCAAACAATTACATCAAAAAGGCGTACAAGAGAAGGGAAAGAAAAGAAAAAAGATGCAACCGGTGCGTGACTCCGTATATTTCGCACCCAACCCACGCTAAACCCAATGCTTCAAAGGTGAAAAAACAAAACAAAAACAAAACACCGGTGGAAAATGCTCAAGATGCGAGAAAATGGAGGGTTGGATGATTATTTTGGCACAAAGGGTGGTGAGACAATGCGCTAAAGGATCAAAAGTGTACGTGTATGAGTGTGAGTGCGAGTGTGAAGAGAGAGAGGGGGGGGGGGGAGGTTGTTGAGGCGATGATGGTAGGGTATGATAATATCATCATGGAGAGAGCGAGAACTTTTTTTTCTTCTTCTTACTTCATATCATCAAAGCAACGAAGACGAAGACGAAGACGAAGACGGAGAAGAAGTAGACGTGAGATAAAAAGTCTCTCAAGAGAGAAAGAGAGAGTCATGAAGGTCATTCGTAAAAAAAAAACAAGAAGAATAAAAGATAAACAAAGTAGTTCTTTCGTTCTTTTTTTTTTTTTTAAAAAAAAAAGAACAAGTAGAAGACGATTTCTCTTTTTGTTTTTGGTTTCAAAATCAATGCTCATCTTCACTACTCCATCCTCCATCATCTTCTTGATCGATACTCTCCATGACTTCTTTGATGACGCCGTGGCTTTTTGGGTCGAGATTCATGGCAATGGTAAGGTGGCGGATGGCACTTGAGCGGTCGCGCAGTTTCTTGTAGCATCTTCCCAGCAAGAAATGAATGTTTGGGTCGTCCGGTGCGGCGTCTTTGAGGTACAAGAGTTCCTTGAGCGCTTCTTGTGGGGCATTGAGTTTGAGCAGGACTTGAGATTTGCGGAAGCGGGCCATGACTGAGCGCGAGTCGATTCTGATGGCGTTTTCGAATTGCAAGAGGGCGGGCTCAATTTTCTTCATGCGGTCCAGAACCTAGGGGTTTTTCTGTTAGTGGTTGAAGTGAGGTAGTGTGTGTATGCAAATGACTTACAAGACCAATTCGAACAAGTATCATGGCGTTGTTCTGGTTGATTTCTGCTGCCGCCCGATAGTGCTTCTCGGCTACTTCATACTTGCCCAAACGTTCATACACATTGCCCAGACCATACCAGCCATTGTAGTGCCGGTTATCTGCGCTAATGGCGTTGCGGTAAGCAGCCATGGCTTTATCAAACTCTTCGTTCGCTACGTGCTCGTGTCCCTGTAGTGTGTAGGCGTAGGCGAACTTTGGATCCAGCTGTGTAGCGCGTGAGAAACATTTTACAGCATCATCATGCTGCCGATCCAGAGAACTAGCATTGCCGAGTGCACACCATGCTTGTGGAGAGAGTCGGTCTTGATCCATAAGCGTGTGGGCAAGGTGGCCCAAGGATACCTCATCTTTCAGTTGCCATAATGTGTTGGAATATACCTCCATATGCTCTAATGAAGAAGGCGCCATTTCTCGAATCTTTCGGAATGTGCTGCCTGCTTCTGCGTAATGTGTGCGCTCGTAGTACGCTTTGCCGATTTGTGCAAGGACCCAGGGTGTTTCGCGCTGTGCCTTGGGTACGGCTGTGAATGCTTCCAACGCCTTGGACGCATCATAACGACTCAGATGTCGATAGCCCGAACCAATCTTGAGAAGTAGGTCCAGCAACCAGTTTAAAACCTCCCGCTCCCGTGATGTGTCGGCCGATGGAGCCATTCTTGGAGGTGGAGCTACAGCCACTGGCGCCCCATTTTGAGGCCTGCCCTCAGGTTTCGATGGCTCAGACACCTCGATATGCGGTTTCCTGTTTCCACTAACAACTCTTCCTACAGTCGATGTAGTCCCTGATCGTGATTTAGGAGCTACGGCTCTTGCTTTTCGCATCTCACGCCGCTCTTTCGATTCCATTTCTTTACTTGATGTTATTCCTTGCCTGGGGTTTGATGGTCGAATCTGGGTAATGGAGTTTAACAATCTCACACTACGCCGTGGTGGTGCTGCAGTAGGGTCCAACGGTTGGGGAGGTGCGTTCTGTGTTTGGTGTAATGAATGACCAGAAACGGTCCTCTTATGTCCGTTCTGGTATACGGGTCGTGGGATGTCCGTCTGGTCGCCATCTGGGTTCGTCTTGGTGCGTACCCTTGAAGTTACTGCCCGTGACATGACAGGGCCGCCAGTTTCAGCCATCATGACATGCTCATCATGCATATTCTGGCCATTCGCTACTGGAGTGTCGAATTCATGGTGTGTGTTGGGTTGCGTAGCGCGACCATTCAGCTTTGAAAGCAGATTTGATCCTCCCATATTCAGTCCACCGTCGTTGGCTTGCCTTGACGTGTTGAAGGGATCTATATCGGGTGTTGAGGCGAAGGGAAGCATGTCGGGTGTGATTTTGAAGATGTTGTGTGGGCGGACGACGGCGCCAATATCGCAGAGGCCGGTGAATGCATCCCACATGAAGGAATTGATCTTGAGCGCTTCGACGAAGTAGTCAATGGCTTTCCTTGTATCGCCATGTGCTGCGTATAGTTTTCCCAGCAGGCAATAGCAGGCTGCTGCATCTGGAACATGTCGTCGCGAAGTCTCGGAGTGTTTATCTAGTTTCTTGTTAGCGGATCGAGGCCGAGAAGGCCTGCGTGGACAACCTACTCCAGTGGTTGCGTCCTGCCCACAGACTGCGCACCTTCTCCAGCGCCTGTCCACCCTGCTCGTGGCGGCCTAGGGCGAGACAAGCGTGGGCGAATACGTAAGCGCATCCCAGATGCTGCGTGTGCATTCCCTTGGTGCGCGCATCGTCAAAGGCGGCCTTGTATCTACCGAGGCGAAGATTGCAGAGAGCAAGCAGGTGCGCTGCATCTGGATTGCGGGGTTCGAGTGCTTGCAAGCGGCCAGCAAGGAATAGGGCGTTTTCAACAAAGCCGTTGTCGAGATGGTAGTGTATGAGCTGGCGCAGCTGGGCATTGACGCCTGGCGGGGGTGACATGCTTTCCTGACAACAAGGCGAGGATCTAGGCTGGAGGGCTCATAGTACGAGTGGTCATGAGACGAGTGGAGGTGGCGGTAAGACTTGGTGAGGGCGTGGGCCCGAGGGGGTAGTCGTAGGGGAGGCGTGTTGTGGTAAAGGTCGTTCGAGTGTCTCGGTCGCTGTTCGGAGTGACGCTGGCGGCGTGTTCGACAAAGTGAATTGGTAAACACGGGTTCACACAACTCCAACGGCAGTAGAGATCGGTATAGCCCGGACGAGTGCGTAGGGAGAAGAGACGGCGGCGGCGGCGATGTTCGCGACGTTTGTTGCTCGCCTTTGTCGCGATCTAGGCTGCGCGCGCTTGTTATGGCGCTCGGGCCATACACATCACAATCCTCCTTCACAGTTCCGCACCCTGTTTTTGCTGCTTCACCGCACTCGCCGTCATCATGGCACAGGTACGTCTTGCACGCCACACCAGTCCTCCGCCGCGAGATGCGTCGTCGAAGAAACTCATCTCCCCTCGACAATCGCTCATCCCTTGCCTAGAAAGCTACCAAAACGCTTGCCGCCTCCAACACCAAGCGCCTTAACCAGACCCTCTACGTCACACTAGTTGTCCATGGCCTCTGGTGGTTGTTCCGAGCCCTCATCTTCCGATCCTCTCTGTCCCGCAAGTCGCTGCTTCTTTACCTGCTCCTCTCGGCCCCGCAGCTCATCATCCAACTTTACTTTGAGCGTCTCTCTCGCCCCACCCTCACTACCGATGGCGCCGTGAAGCGACCTGGCGAGGATCTCGATGCCAAGGGCCTGACCGAGTACATGTGGGATGTTGTTTACTGGACCTATGGCTGCATCATTCTGGCTGCCATCGTGGGCGACTATGCTTGGTTTCTGTGGACTGTCATCCCCGCCTACAGTGCCTATGCTGCCTGGGGCACTTACTCTGGCATGAGAGGCGGCTTCCAGGATGCTGCAGGTGTGCCCCAGCCGCAGGCAAGCAAGAGACAGGCTAAGATGGAGAAGCGGGGTGGCCAAAAGGTCCAGTACCGGTGAGGAAAAGAAAAGTCCTGTCGAAATATGTACATGGCAAGAGCCAGCAATGGACTCGGTTCGTGTACACCATGTCACAATGCATGCTCTTGTAGGAAAAGTCGTAATCATTCATGATGCGCCCTGTTGTAGGCATGTAGAGTCATGATGGTACAATATGTTATACATCAAGGAAGTCCATGCCATGGACTGCGTAAGAGTTTTGGGCTGCTTCCCTTGTGCGATCCTTTTTTTTTGGACGCGTGCTTTGATCATGTGATTTTACACTAAGATGCACCTATGCTTCTACCCGCGTAGGGATCTTGGGTATACCTCGCTTGCGGTCCTGATGTGGTACACCATACCGCCATCCAGCTGCCGCCGCTCCTCTTCCATCGCGTCCCGCAGCCTCGACACTAACGTCCTGGATAACAAAATCCCATCTCCGTTGGGGCACCACCTTCAAGGCCCTGAGCTCGGCCTCCTTCTTTCTATCCTCCTTCTTCTTCTGCTCTTGTTGCTTTTCTAGGCGCTCTTCAGCAAGCTTCCTTCGCTCCTCGAAGCTAAGGCCTGCCTCGAGTTCACGCTCTGCCTGCACCAGTTCTGGGTGGGGAATACGCGCATCAGCAGGCAAGAGGTTGTTATCAAACGCCTTGCCAGCATCGACACGTGTGAAGCGGCGCGACTCGGCAACTGGCACAAATAATTGTTGTCGTGTCGCAGGGTGCACAATGAGGTCATTAATAGGTTCATGAGTGACTGGCCTCTTTCCTTTGTTTTGTGGCAAGGAGGGGTCAATATATGGTGTTGTAGGAAGCATTGAAAGGACGGCTTTGGAGTAAGGTAATGCCAGCTTCTTGCCCTGTTGAAATCTCGTCAGCAATTGTTGTCGAGCGTATTGTGGTTTGTATAGTAGATGTGATGACGACGTTCAGCAAGAGCATGACTTAAGTTTTGTAACCATGTGGGTGTCTTAAAGACTAATCGATTTTTTTTAAGAAGCTCATCATGTCGTGGAAAGGAGGAGAAAAAAAATGTAACATACCTGGGCTACCCACTCCTTCTCCATCTGCTTCAAACGCACCACAGCGCCGACACGCTCGTTGCTGACGCCGAACTCGACACTAGCAAGTGATACGGTTGCGCCCTCCTTTTTCACTCGGTTGTATATCGCTTCGCGCAAGTCCTCGCTGAGGACTGGTTGACTGCGAAAATACTGGTTGAGGGGAAACGGTCGTAGGTCTTCCGCCGTTTCTGGGGGAAGCTTGCCATCATCCGCCTCTTCGCCTTTCTTGCTCATCTCCTTGTTTTCAGCATCACTAGACCGTATCGCTGCTTCCAGCTCGTCCAGATTCTCCTGTGCTTCAGGCGTCTTCTCCTCGGCCGGCTTGTCCGCCTGGGGTTCGGCATTGGATGTGTCCGTCTTGTTCAAAGTAGCGGCTTTCGCAGCGCCATCCTTTCGCCATCCTGGGCCTGCACGTACTAAGTTGCCAAACTTGTCGTAGGCTCCTAGGTAATTTGTTGAACCAGGTATGGGCTCCTTCAGCTGTCGGCCAGGCCCATTGAGCCACTCATAGAATTTCCTCCGCCGTAATGTCACTTGGGCACATGGTGTCTGTGAGAATTGCCGTGATGACCGCACTGGTAACGACGGAGTATGTGGCCTCGCGACTGAGCACGAGGAAATCTGTGGGACAGCTGGTGCTGAAAACTTTGAAGCTTGTAACCGAGGAGGCATGTTGGGTCGGGCAGGTGCTACCGCATTGGCATGGGCGAATAGAATTACAAGAGGGGAAGAAGAAGGGAAGAGGCGGATGGGTGTAATAGGTAGTGCTGCAGCAGTGTGTGAAGTGATGGTTAGCTTGCAGGAAATTCTGAGCAAGTCGGAATTTGTGGCTAGCGTCTTGGCATCCGTACACAGCGTAGCCTTGGGACTTTTGCACTGCACCGGAGATGGAAATTGGACGTACCACAAATTGAGCCATTTGATGCAATTTTAGTTTATAAATTTTTAGACTGCAAGGGCTTCATGACATCTACCCAGTCACACATGAAACAACAAACGAAAGCATAGCATCACCATAGTCAATGAGGTCTTGTTAGATGCACCTTAGATTCTATCCCTAACTCCACGTTTGCATTTAAAAGGGTATTGAGTAAAACAAGACCGTTGCATACAGAGCAAAAGCCACTGTGAGGGGAACATGAGCGAAACGTGAATGCCAACGAATCAATACACTGTAAAGACAGGATAGTGTCCAGCCCAGACATATCGTAGCGCTGCATGCGCATCTATCGTGTAAATGAACCCCTAAAAACACGAAAAGAAACAATCGTAAACTAATCCAAGTGCTTTCCATGCAAAGACACGGACACCTGCATGTTCTGCTAGTCGCCCATGGAAAGTCAATGCCCATTAGAACTTGGTCGCGCCGAACGATGAGTGCCAGTAACAAATGTGCTGCAAATGAATAAGAGAAAAAAAAACATGGAAAAAAAAAGAACCCCAAATATATGCCCACAACATGAACATGGGAATGTCCACGCAATCCGACTTTCCTGCGAAAATGACAGAAGAAATACTCTGGATAGATGCAAGCCTAGGGACCGTGCATGGGGAGGGAATCAAAAAAGATCAGAAAATAACATGAAAACTCTCTCCGAACTCCATGGGGGGAACCAAATGAGCAATCGCACAAGGGGGAATCATCGCTGTATGCTGGAAAGAGGTCCACGTCCAACGGGCATGATAGCCCAGGAGATTCCGCGCCAGTACCCATGCCCGTAGTTTAATGAAGCCAAATATAACCCAGACACTCAACACCTTGCCATGACTGAAATGACTGAAAATAGTGTCAAGAATAGACGAAGCAAAATTTGCAAATGCTCGGTGATGAATGCGCCGTCGACTCCGTTATCATCACTCGTAATGGCATAGCAGATTAGTATGGGTGCGCCTAGCGCCCCATCATGAATGAGGAGTAGCCTCCAAAGCCGTTGCCGGTGCCGCTGGACGCTAGTGGTTGACGCATAGAGGCGGCCATATCGTTGGGACCCATGCCGAAACCCCCATTGGCATACATGCCAAAGGCAGAGCTACCATTGGCGTGGCCTGCCGCGGATAGGCCGGGAGGTGCTGACAAGCCCGGTGGTGGGCCAGTAGCTGTTGAGAAACCAGGAGGGGCAGCGACGCCGTTTCCAAAAGCTGAAAGAGGGGTAGTTGGGGTGATGGCAGACTGTGGACCGAGACCAGAGTTTTGGCCGCTGCGCACACCCAAGGGATTCTTGGAAAAGCTCAGGCGGATACCGCCCTTGACACTGTTGTGGAGCATGTATCCATAGAGCTCGTTGAGAGCCTTGGTAGCAAACGATGTGTCTTCGAATTCGACAAAGCACATGGGGCCATTCTGCTTGGTCCGGAAACAGAGGCGCTTGTATCCGCGCTGCTTTGAAAAGACGGCTTTGAGCTCGTCCTCGGAAGTGTCCATTGGAAGATTGCCCACATAAAGAGTATTGCACGGTGGGTTCTGATCGGCGGGGTTCACGGGCGGATACGTGGGCCTTGCAAAATGCTGAGAATACTGCTGGTAGCCAGTGCTCGGTCCACTGCTCAAGGCAGATGGAATGCTATGCGGAGACATGGCAGACATGGTAGACATGGTGGGAACTGGCGATTGCATGTTGGAGCCCGAACGAGGGGATGCATAGGTGGACATGGGCGGGGATTTGACTCCAGTAGCGCCGTTGGTGTTGAGAGAAAGACTTCCAAAACGCTGGACGGGGATGGTAGAAGAGTTTGGGTTTGTGGCGCGACGCTGCATGCTTGACTGAGCCTGGGGGCCACCAGTGGCATATCCAATCGACTCGTTCAGCAGGCCATCGTCGTCGTCGGCCTCGTCGTTGATGACTGACTTGCCCAAGTTGCGGCTCGCAAAAGACGTGTTGACGGGAGATGTCGGCGAGAAGAGGTTGTTGACCGGGAATTCTCCGTTGCCAAGACCTGGGGTCCCGTTGGGTGGGGACATCTTCTCCATGTTTTGGAAGGTGCCGTTGTATCGCGATGACTGTCGTCCATTGGCAGTCGAGGTGGACATTGAGCTTACCACGGAGGCCTGGCGCGCGGGTATGCTGTCGAGGGTGTTGCGACGCGACCCGACGGTGCCGGACGGTGCCTCGTGCATCAACTCGACGACCAGTGTGGCATCGTTGGTAGCATTGCGCTTGCCGTTTAGTAGGTCGCGGGCTTCCTTTGCGCCCTCGTACGTCTGGAAGTGGGCGACGGCGCAGGCAAAGCCCTTGTCGTCTGCGTGTCTGGGCTGCGAGAGGACCTCGCAGTCAATGAGGTCTTTGGCAAAGAGGAGAATGTTGCGCACTGCCTCACGGTCGCTGTTGCTGGGCAGCTTGCGCAAAAGAATGCTGTGGCGAGGGCTGACGACGGAGCCTTTGTCCGTGGGCCTGCGCTCTCCGATTGCACCGGGGGTGGGATAGGCGTGCGGTGCAAAGGCGTCGGCAGTCATGGTGTTGTGCGAGGCAAAGAGCTTTGGCGGCGATGACGATGTGGAGCTGGTGTGGGAGCCGTGGGGGAAGGGGCTGTTGGACAGGACCGAAGGACTTGTGCTGCTGGGGCTAGGTCTGGTGGCCATGGTGTCGTGTGTGGTGACGCTGTCGGGACGGGTGTCGCAGGGACAAAGGGCGCGGCCAGAAGGGTGCGACGGGCAGCCGAGAGCAGCGCTGGCAGGCAGCGGGAGACGGGATGAGCATGCGCCAGAGACAAAGAGAGAGAGGTCGTATGCGCTGTTGGAAACGAAGGGGATATGCGAGAGAGCGAGGTGACGGTGGTGTGCGGAGGGTGGGCAGAAAACAGGCGTCGACTCAGGCCGGCGATGGCGGTAGGCAGAGGGGCTTTTTGGGCGCAGACGCGGACTCGAGCTGGGAGCGACGGCGAGCCTGGGCGATCCGCGCTGTCGAAGCGGCCTGGGGGGTGGGACGCTTAAGCCAATGGGCGGCAGGGCCAGGAGCCGCGCCGGGTGTCGTCAGAGGATATACGCACTCACAGGCACACTGCAGCCGTAGGAGGGGAGGAGGATGGTAGTGATGGTGGTGCCCAACTAGTCGCAGCTGTCTTGCACCTGCTCTTGTTTTTCTCGATCGCCGTGGTGCTAGTCGTCGTCGCAGCCGTGGAGCTGGCGCGGTTGGGATTGCAGTCTTGCAGGAGGGGGGGAAAGGAGTGGTGGTGGCAGTGGGGGGTGGGTGCTGATGATGGAGAAGGAGGACGTGATTGTTGTGGTGGGGTGGTGGAGAGGCAAGTAGGGGAACAGAGCAGGGCAGGGCAGGGCAGGGCAGGGCAGGGCAGGCAGGCAGGCAGGCAGGCAGAAAAAGGAGCGCGAGGATAGCGTGGGATTGGCATTGGCAATGGCAATGGCAATGGCAATGGCAGCAAGGGAGCATTAGTGCAGTGCCGCAGCCCGCCTTCGTGGTTGTGGCTCCTGGTGCCTGCCCCAGCCGTGGCCGGGCTGGCGACCAAGCCGCCCATGCCCACCACGCCCGCCTGTTTGGCGCCCCAAGTACCGGGCCTCGAGCGAATCATGGCCGCGCCCGCGCCCACAGCGAGATCGGCCTCAGGACCCAGCGCTCGAGATCCACGGAACTGCTGTTCGCCAATGGCCGTCGCCTTAGGCCGTCGCCAACTGCGACGCCTCTCTCGTGCTGCTGCTTGGGGGCCTGCCCGTTGCCCGTTGCCCGCTGCTCGCTGCTCGCTGCTCGGTGCTGCTGTGGCCAACCTTATCCTCCCGCGTCGGAAACCCATGTCATCTTTTAGGTCAGGCAGCAGACGCAGCATCCATCGGCCCCAGCCACCAATCACCCAAGCCCGCCGCTGCCCTCGGCATGCCGGTCCACGCCCGAGCCAAAAGCAACCACGGTCTTTGTTGGCAATCTCCTCTAGACCTCTGGCCGGCAAAACCCCTCGTCGCTGTGACTGGCCACGTGCAGCGCTGCCAGATGCATGGCGCTCCCGTTCACCCTTCTTCTTCGACTAGAGCCGAGCAGTGGGCCGCCCGCAGCCTCGCTGATTGGGCCATGGCCCCAAAAGCCTGTTTTCCGTCCCTCCCCTGTCCCCCCTCCCATTGGCCCGCGCCCCCGTCCATGCTGCCTACATACTTACTTTGTCTCTTGCCATCGCCTGTCCAACAACCCTCTCGAGTCACGGTGCGTCGGTTCATCACAAAAGTCCTGTAACCCAAGAAGCCAGCCAGCCAGCCAGCCAGCCAGCCAGCCAGCAAGTACCGCCTGCCTCCATACTTGACACGACCCTTTTCCTGCTTCACGACCTGTGCATCGTTGCATGCCCCGCTTCCTCGTCCAAGCCGGCAACCCTCCCCAACACCATGCACACTCTCCCTTCCTCGGCCGCTCAAACTATCTTGAAACGTTATCATCCTCTCCCATGTGATGCCTCCACCCGCATCCGCTCGCCCCCTCGGACTTTCATGCTCATTGTGCAATCTCGTCGCGACATGCACCAATCAAGCCCCGACACCACTACACCCAGCCAAACCCTTCTCAGCCCCGTGGATGATGAAAGTGGCGCCCTGGTTGGTAGAATGTCCAGCGTCCAAGTGGTGGGCATGCTATCTCTGCCTGCTGATTGGACAGGTTTCGGTATTACCATCACATTTACCCTGATTTCCCACGAGCCACAAGAACGTTGTGAATCGACTGTAGCACCCACACTCCACCTCTGTCGAGCCCCTAGCTTTCGTGTCAGGCTGTAAGAATACTGGTTACGGACTGGTAAGCATTCGGTAAGCACTGCATGGTCAAACTGTATACCGACAAATCCCTTGGCCCTCTTACTTCATCACATGTTGCACAAGCAGGACGGCTTTTCAACCACCTCAGCTTCTGTTTCCTCATCACGTGCTTATGCACAACAACACAATGTCGTATAAAAAAGGCCAATCACTAGAGTGAGCATACTCTGACCCATCGTTCGCCCTGGCACATATGATGATCAGCCATATCCCAGCCGACGATCTTGGTTCATGTAATATTGCCCAATCTTGACATCGAAACATGTGTCTCTTGCCTTACGTGTGGCCAATGGCAATATTCTACTCCCACGTGGAAAGCAGCTAGCTATCACAGGCAACATCGACACAGTATACGTGTTTGTTGCCTAGACCCTCTAGCACACATCAAAAACAAAAGTGGGGGCTGCGACGCATGCTGTCAAAGTTACATCGCATTACCACTCGCATGCTTCCTGTCTTATCGTTGACAAATCACACCAATAGTCCTTAATCGACAAACATGACCGCGAAATGATGGAAAATTTCGCCTCCAGATTTCCACAAAACGATAGAAAATGCATCTCCCACAACAAACGACTATATCGCACTTGCCTCGCTACCAGTCATGCAATAACCAATCAAGCATCACATGCTGCGCCACACCCCATCATACGTCACCACTATCTGCGTGTGATTTGTACATAACGGCAGGAAGGGGCAACTGTTGGTTTGAACATCACTAAAGACAGTAGTCCCATTGTATAATATTGTTCACCATAATCTGAAAAGTCTAGAATCGCAAATCACTACATCTCAAGAAAACCCGGTCAATATATCACACATCAGGGCACCACCCTTAATCCGTCATAGCATTCCCACCCCACTGTATACCTACCAGTTAGTAACGTACCTCTATCATTTGGTCCAACGGTCTGCTCATCCCGTTTTGCGCAAAGCAGGTGCAACACCCACTTACGTACTCACACCCCATCTTGCCACCTCAACAGGGTTCCTGTACATCAACTCCCGCAGCCCATTCCAAACAAACTCCATCTCTCTGCACCAAATCAAATCAACCACCCTACCATGGCCGGTCTCATCGCTATTGGCATCGGTCTAGGCGCCGAAAAACTCGGCCGCACAATCTCCGAGAAAAGACTAGAACGAAAAGAGAAGAAGGCCATCGCTGTATACATCGCCCCTCCCACCGAGTTCATAGCCTGATATCGTTTTTTGTATACTGACATTCTCGCGCAGCAACATGAAGCAATATACGGCACTTCGTCGTCTGCACCCCCACCGCCCATGACGACTCGGCAGCGGCAGGAGCAGATGCAGAAGAAGCGTGCGGATGCGCAGCGAGCACTGGATGACGCTCGTCAGGGGCAACAGTCTGAATCACAGCACCATTACAGGCGGAGAAGTTTGAGTGCAGAGAGGCTAAGTGAGGAGGAAGCGCCGCCGAGTTATAGTGAGGCGATGCGGCAGGGTGTTGCACCAAGTTGACTTGTGTTCTACGCGGGGGTTTTTTTTTACTTGGTACCGTTTGAGTTGTTGATATTCGCTCCTTTGGTTGACTTTAAATCACCCTTTTTCTTCAATCTGCTAGGATATCACAAATCGAGATATTCTACACGCTTTGTCCCCAGCGATTCCATCTCCAGCGCGCTTCTACACCGTCACTGCAATTTTGTATCTCATGCCAAGTCAAGTCATACTTTGTTCGTTATTGCGCTTTCACTCCAGACTACTTTGGCTGCGCACTCATTTCCACGCCAAGCAATTTCTCACTCACTCGTCGCTTCCGTCTGCTCTATCTCCTATTTCGTTTGCCACACAAGCCCTTTTTTTTTCTCGTCAGTCAGTGTACTATTTATCTCCCCAATTGCACCAAAACAGCAGAAGATCTTCTCGCCACACTTCGCTCGTTACTCCATCTCACGACGCGTTCGAGTTTCGACTCTAGTATCTACAATTCGATCCAAAGCCTCCACACGACACAACAAAGCAAGCAGTACGCCTCATGAGGCACGACCGCGTCGAAGCGCCCGTCACGTTTCGAGGATATCTCCTCTGCGTCTTCGCGGCCTTTGGTGGCATTCTGTTCGGTTATGACTCCGGATACATCAATGGAGTACTTGGGATGTCGTTCTTCAAGCAGCAGTTTGGGAGTAAGTCCAGTCCAAACGCGGGGCTAACATCTGAGGCGCTATGATGTCTTGTCTGTATACTAAGCATAACGACCAGGCCCTTCAAACGACAAGGATGCATATGACGGTCTCCTCTACAAGACATGCTTCTCATCACTGGTTCCATTGGCATGCTCGTCTGCGAGTTCGTCATTGCCATTGTCGGCACAGTCGATGAAGGCAGCAAGGCCGCTGGTACATGGCTGATCGTCTTCACCTGTTTCTACATCTTCTTCTTCGCGTCCACCTGGGGACCAGCAGCCTGGGTAGTCATTGGAGAAATCTTTCCTTTGCCCATTCGCGCCAAGGGCGTTGCTCTCTCGACTGCTAGCAACGTAAGTAGTGGTGTCGTATACGGTAGTCAAACGAAGAAGGGCTAATCTTGAACAGTGGTTTTGGAACTTCATCATCGGTTTCATTACTCCCTACATGGTCGACGAGAGCTATGGAAATCTCAAGGCAAAGGTCTTCTTCGTCTGGGGTGCTACGTGCAGTGCTTGCGTTGTTTCTGCCTATTTCCTAGTGCCTGAGACAAAGGGCCTGTCTCTTGAGCAAGTCGACCGAATGCTTGAAGAGACTACGCCACGTACTTCATCCAAATGGGTTCCTCATCATCTGCGTGAAGGGCACACATATGGATCCTCCCAGGACACGACCGAGAAGATGGGCCACCAAGGTCCACTTGAGCAGGGCGAGCAAAAGGGCGTTTGAATTGTTTTCGGTGCGTGATCCCGGTGGCTGCAAGACAAAGTGCTATATAGGAAACACTGTCAGAAGTTCTATCAGCAAAGGTATTAGCCAATGCCACTAGAATCAAAGCTTAGAGTAGTGCTCTGCGAGACGGCGCCTCGTAACTTGAAAGCTTTGTGGTGTACTGGCATGGCTATGTAATTATCAAACAAAAAAGTAGACGTATCAGTTTCCTGTTGACTTAGTGTGACTTGACCGACATATTTGCACGTTGTACGCGGGGCTGTTGCAGAACGTCAAGTATCAAAAGTGAAACATGATGTGTACGTAAGCCTCGCGGGATGTGGAGTGGATGACAACCTCGTGCGGAATTAGTGCGCGCCTCAAGCAATGTAGCTGACAGATGATTGTAAATCGTCTCGGCAACCAGACACAGTTACGTGCCGACACGGCGATGGCAACATTAGGCGGTCAGATGGCATACGAAACTATTGCGTATGTATCGTAGTATTAACAACTAAAGGCATCTGCCGTTGCTTGTGCCAATCTTACAAACCTCAACTGACCACGTCATGCCATGGCCGTTTTAGCTGCTCGCTCATTGTTCATCGGCCTGATATCGGGCCTGCTACTTGCCTTGCTGCTGCAGAATATACTAGCACCTACACAATTCCAATCACCGGCCCAGGACGTATCCGAAGACCGTCTTTCCACGGATTCCCCACTACAACTATCCGAGTCCATGGCGCAGATGCTGGGAAATACCCTGCGCGCTGCCAGGTATCGTGCGTGGGTCGGGGGATACAAGAGCGTGGCCTCACCGCTCCATTTGACACCACAGTCCTCAATTCCCTCTTCTACCACTACTCCAAGCAAGCTTGCCTCTTCCTCTTCAGCGTTTTCAACAAAATCGCCCGTCATGTCTGCTCAAAAGTCTTTCCTCGACGCCATCAAGGAGCGTCGCACAATCTACGCAATCAACAAGGAATCGCCCATCTCAGACAAGAAGATTGTCGAACTTGCAGAGCTGGCTCTGCTTAACGTTCCTTCATCCTTCAACTCTCAGAGCACCCGTCTCGTTGTGCTGTTGAACAAGGACCATGATCAGTTTTGGGACTATGCCCTTGAGGTTTTGAAGCCTCTTACCCCCGAGGACAAGTTCGCCGGAACACAACAAAGAATCGCCGGATTCAAGGCTGGTTACGGAACAGTATGTATTACTTCTCTTCCTAATATTGCCGTCGCTATGGAGGTCTTGTAATGTATACAAGATCTTGCTTGCCCCACCATACAATACCCAAGCTTCTACCACCAACTGCGGCGGTCTTATACCGGAAGCATTGAGAAGCACAAAAGGCAATGCACTAACCCAATCCCAGATTCTCTTCTACGAAGACCCCGAGCCAGTCGAAGGACTCCGCAAAGCGTTCCGTACGTCACACCCTCAAACCACCTGACCCAATTCATTTCAAACCCTTTATAATACACTAACCCCAAAACAGCCATCTATGCCCACCACTTTGGCGACTGGTCCGATCAGACAAACGCCATGCACCAATACGCCCTCTGGGTCGCCCTCGAAGCCGAAGGCTTCGGCGCAAACCTCCAGCACTACAACCCCGTCATCGACCCCAAGGCCGCAGAGCACTGGAAAATCCCCGTCGACTGGAAACTCCGCGCCCAGCTCGTCTTTGGCGGCCGCGCCGGCGAACCCGGCAAGAAGGAGAGCAAGCCTACACATGGTACGAGGCTGTTCGTGCATGGAGCTAACATCTAAGCGCCAGATTGCGCGGAAAGCAAGAAAAACAATGAATTATAGAGAGAGAGAGAGAGAGGAGAGAATATATACCCTTTTGACCTTATGACCTTTTTCCATCACGTTTGTTCGTGTGCAAAAAAAAAAGAGATTGTTGTAACCCTTGTGTATGAAACATGTCGCGATTTTCAGACGTGGAGTTTGTTTCTTTTTTTCTAAAAAAAAAACCAATAACTTCCATCTTCTTCCCTCCCAAAAGGTATGTACATATGTAATTTTGCGACCATAGCGAGCAATTTGTTCCCCCTTTACACACCAAACTTCACGATCCAAAGCAGACTTTCTTCTTTCTTTCTTTCTTTCTTTCTTTCTCTCTCTCCACAAACACACACGATCCCCAATCCCTACTCACACAGNCCCAGAAAATCTATTTTTATTTTCGCACGTTCGTGCGCTGTGTATCCGTTGTTTTGAAGGCTGAGCAGAGCAACATACCCCACCAGTCGAACTAACCGACGTCATGCCGATAAGCGTTTGTAGTTACCTGCGTAGTAGTTGAACCGTTATAGCAACGAAAGGGGGGGGGTGGTGGATGTACGTGCGAATTGTGCATGTCGATCTTTTCGTCTTCACAGCCTTGCTGCTACCAAGAGAGAGAGACAGAAATACGATAGTAAGGCGTCCCGTCCCGCTCCCCCCCCTGCATATGTCTCCATTGCGCATCGCCCATCTTGCGTCCTAACCCAACAAAAGGTCCGTCTTGTAGTTGGTCGGCGATTTCGTCCTCGCTTGACTCAGCCTCATCTTCCACCCCAATCTGTTGGTGGGCTTGGCGGGACCGATGCTAGTAGCGTCCGCATTTTTACGATCCCGGTTGGATGGGTCAAGTTTGGTGCACTTTTGTCTCTAGGTAGAATGGTTAGGTGCCCTAGGCCTCCCGTGCATAGGTACGAATATGTAGGATGCCAAGGCGAGGTACGGATGCGGACAGCCTGGGTTGTGGGGATCTTTGCTGGGGAGGTCAATGTAGTAAGTACGTAGCTATTTTCAGGCCCTCTTTTGCTTGCGGACAAGATGGTTCATTTGGGAGGGGGGGGGGGGGGGGGGGCTTGGTAAATAAGTTACGATTGGTCAGTTTAACTTCATCTGAGCCTCCCTTGCGACTCCAAGAATGTGGATATGGGGATTGACAAGTTGGGTTACTGGATGGGGCTTTTTTTTGCTCGGTGCTTCTGAGGGGACGAGGGCAATGTGAACGGCGAAGAGGGCGCCTGAAGATGGGGGTGTTGAAGAGTTGGGCGGTGAAGTTATGGAGGAGATGGAAGTGTAGAGAGGTATAAAGGAGTCGTGGAGTCGTTGAAAGATGGAAGAATCATCATCTACTCAGCTTCTCCACTACTACAACAATTAAACACTCAGCTTGATTATCATTTCTTACATTTAGTCTTCTCTCTCCTCCATACAACCATTAACCATGCTCTCCACCACCCTCACCACCATTACCCTCCTCGCCGCCACCGCCTCCGCCGGCGTCGTGCCATCCATAAAACACGACCCCATCACCAAGCGCAGCGAAGCAACCTGGGACACCAAAGGCAACATCAAACTCACTTGTACGCTTCTTTCCCCCCACCCCTCAATCACCTACTCAAACTAACCCCATCCCTACAGTCTCCAAAGAAACCGTCCAAGTCGGCTCCCTAACCCCCGACGCCATCATGGCCGCCATCGGCCCCATCTGCCACGAATCAGGCCAATGCGAAACCAACCCCATCGAACTCAGCGGCATCCTAACCAGCTCCTCACGCATCGACCCCATCAAAGTCACCCTCGGCCCGGACGGCTCCTACCCAACCTGGATCCGCAACGGGCTCGTCGACATGCTGGCGCTGGCCGCCAAAGAGGTCGCAAAGTGCGAGGAAGTCACGTATACGGATCACTGCTTCGGCACTACCGCCATGGCGTATTGTCCGCAGAAGAAATCAAAGGGCGTCAATTGTGAGGTGCCCAGGTTCTGGGGCATTAATTATCAGGCGCCGGATATGGCGAATGCAGCGCCTCCGAATGTTGGCGTGGATATTGCAATGGAGAAGGTGGATCAGAGTAAGTTGTGTGAGGATGTTATGGGTGCGCTTGGGGCGGTGGCCGGCGCGGTGAATGGGTATGCGGGGACGGTGTTTACGCTGCTTGCTTTTGCTTGTGTTTAAGGTCGAGGATGAAAGGTAGGTAAAGGGATTAGTTGGGTGATTTTGTAAATAGCCTTGACGAATTGTAGATATTTGGGGTAAATTGTACATGGTCTATTCATATTGAACTTCGAGTTTGCTTGAGTGCACTTTTGTACAGTGAATCATCAATTCAGCATCAAGTCAAAACCACCTCTTGATCTCTGAAGTCATGCAACTTGAATAAAGAAATATTACTCGCAATAGCTATTAATGGTAGTAGATAGTTAATTAAACGTAATACGCAACATAAATCATGTAGAAAAAAGGGCCTATCCAAAAGACCCACACCTAAGAGCCGAGCCATGCAAGACCCTCTAGTTCCCTGGATATAAGCCCACCACACTGCAACGCCATGCTCAGCATGAAGAAAAAGTGCTAAAAAAGCGCAGAGTGCTTATAAGCGTAGCCCGCATAAAGCAATAGTAGCGAAACACCCCCTCTCTTCCCCTTCCAACCAAAACGATTACAAAAACGCCCTCGACCTAATGACGACGCGTATAGTCCTCCTTCTCTTGATACCCACAGCGCTATCGCCATCATCACCAGGCAGAGACTCATCATCCGTAATCTCAAAATTCATCTCTTCAGCCCCGCCGGCGGCATCATCAATAGCATGATTCCCCACCGCATGGGCCAAACTAGCGAATTCATCCGAGTCCAGCTCCACCTCTTCAACAATATTACCATGTCCATTATTACCAACATCTCTCGTTACCAAGTCCTCTTCTTCTTCGGCTGGCGGACTCAGCTTCAATAAAGGATACCGGGACCTCCATACCCCCCGCCCCTCAGAGATCCCATCAACTACAAAAAACCCTTCTGACCACTGACGCGACGAAGGTTTGATCGAAGACTGCCATATTTGCCCTTGTCGTTGGCAGACGCTTCGCCCATCTCACCCATCAAAAGGCCAATCGAGCTACCTCTTCTGGAACGGCTGTCTCCCGCATCACTACCAGGGGCTGGCGGAACGCCAAGGATACTGCGGCGATCGACACGCAGGTTTTTCCAACCTTCGAGTTCACGCTCCAAACGCAAATTCTTCTCACGTTCTTCGCGGAGCTCACGCTCGGCACGCTTAGCGGCGAGTTGGTTCGTCGAGTCCGAAGACTGTAGCTCATCAATGGTAGCGAGCAGGCTGGAGATCTTGTCACGAGACTTGTTAAGGTCTTCCATTACGGAGGCGTTTTGCTTGTCACGGCGTTCGATCTGTGTTTGGAGATCCTTGACAGTTCGGTCTACATTGCGAACACTGCGCGATTCAGACAGGCGTGTTGCCTCGCTGTCTTCGAGTGCCTTTTCAAGCTAATTGGACTTGTTAGCACTATTCGATACAGACAAAAAGGGAGAGAAATAGAAGAACATACCTCTTGGATGCGTCCGTGGAGGAAGCGCACGTCCTTGCCAGCTGATCCACTGTAACCCTTTGTCTCGAGATCCACAAGGCGAAGTTGAAGGTCCTTGAGGCTCTTCTCCACTGCAGCCTTGTCTTTGTGGAGCTTGACGTTTGCCTCACGCTCAGCGACAATGTCTTTTTGCAGCTCTTGTGCGAGTGCCTCTGCACGGCGCATCTTTCCGACAGCAGCGGCAGTAATATCTTCTTGCTGAGCAAGGCCAGATTTGAGCTCCAGCAAGTCGCGGTCATAAGCAGCAGCGTTACGCGTAGCCGGAGACTCGGAACGAGAAAGATCATCCAAGGCAGCTGCAGCCTCCTGTAGACGAGACTCAAGACGCTTCTTCTCTTCGATGGCAGAATCACGCTCTGCCGCAAGGTCGTCGACGTTGGTGCGTAGTGTGCGAACCTGTGATAGCAGACTCACAATCTTGGATTGCGCCTCGTTGTGCGCATTGGCAGCTTCGTCGCGCGAGTCGGAAATGGTCTGCAAAGTCATCTCAAGACGGCTCTTCTCCTTTGCCCAGGTCGATGAGTTCAGAACCTCGTCGTCCCACTTGTTCCTTAATTCTTCAATCTCCTCGCGCAGACGTCCGTTTTCCTCGCGTACTTGAATTATGTTCTCGCGTTCCTGATCAATTTCTTGAGTGAGCGCCTGGAGTTCGGTTTGGTACTTTTTCCTGGTCTGTTCCAGCGAAGTCTCGCTGTCTTCCACATCGTGAGCGTGCTGGCTCCTGTAGTCTTCAAGCTCATTTTGAAGACGCTTCTTGGCCTGTAGAGCAGCCGCCAGGTCTGTGGATAGGTCTTCGACACGCTCGTCGTATCTTTGAACTGTTCGTTGTAGATCTTCAACCATAGCATCCATCTCCTTACGTTCAGCCATGATCGTCGCACAGGTCTCTTCAGCTTCTTGAGCTTGGGTCCTTGCGAACTGCTCGGCACGAGACGCCCTCAAAACTGCAATCTCTGCCTGTTCAAGCTTGTTGAAGTACTCGTCAGCCCTACTCTTGTACATGTTCAAGCTTGACTGTACATCAACAAGGGTTGACGTCTCGTTGTCCAGTCTGATTTGAAGGTCAGCAAACTCTTGGAGGAGCTGGCTGTGGTTGGCGTGCTCCTGCTCTCGCTCACTGGTGATCTCTTGAAGCTCATGGTGAAGCTCGCGAAGCTCCGACTCCAAAGCTATCTTGGCATCTTTGATGTCGTCAAAGGCGGTCTTTGCATCTGCCAGTTCATTGATGGCGTTGTTGTGTGCCTGTACAATTGACTTGCGCGATTGTTCTTGTGAAGTCAATAGATCAAATAACTGCTCATGAGACTTTGTCTGGACCTCCTGGTAGGAAAGTTGACCGGAACGAAGACTGTGCTCCAGTGCAGAAACCTTTGTTGCTGAGTCATCCAGCATATCATGCAGACGGTAATTCTCACGCTCCAGCTTCTGTACACGTCGGATAGATGGGCTTTCTTCCTGCCACTCGTTTCGGCTTTGCGATGATTCAAGCTGACTTCTAAGGTGTTTGTTTTGCATCTCTGACATTTGCAACTGGTTCTGTACCTGTTCAAGTTCGGCAGCCATGTCCATGCGATTGTTGAACGTAACAGTGTCGACAGTCTTGTCGGAACGCGCTGAGTCATTTGCATTGTTGATGTGTCGCTGGTTAGTTGGGGTGTTTGTGATTGAAAATGGTCGGCGATTCTCGCTGTCTTTTCGGTGATGTGTTGGCGTATGGCGGACACTGGCTTGGTTGACCTGGCCATTGTTCATCTCTTCCAACAGCGCACGCTTCGAATTAGCATGGCGGGCATCCATTTCATTCAGTTCACCCTCGTGCCTCTCACGGAGTTCGTCAAGTTGAGATTCAGCACGGGAATACCGCTCTACCGCTACACGCAAAGCTTGGTTGACAGACTCAAGGCGCTCGGCAATATCCACTGTCCTGGCGATCTCGGGCTTTGCGGCTTCGTAGGTGATTGCTACGTCAGCTGCTTCTGGATCAAAGACCTTGCGAAGAAGCATGAGTTGCTTGTGGCATTCTTCCAGCTCGAGGTTCGTGTTGTCGAGGGATGTCTGAACAGCACGTGTGTTGGCCTGAGCTTGAGTACGTAGTTGTCGCTCAGTCTCCAGCTTACGGTTGACCTCGGCGAGTTGAATGTTGACGGTTGATGAAGCCTTCTCTGCGTTACGACTGGCCTTGTGCTCTCTTGCAATTTCGTGATTCAGATCTTCCAGATCCAGAGAAAGCTTCTCCTTTTGTTTCTCCAAAGACGTAATGGCAACTTGAGCATCCTCAAGTTGACGCATGAGGAGCTTGTTCTCCTCCTCAACCTTGGATTTCTCATGGGTCAGTTGGGTAATCTTGAGGCGTTGCGTGTCACCAACTCGAGAGTTGGTCCGAGCAATGTCCAAGTTCTTTTGTTGTAGCTTGTTGAGAAGAGCGCGGTTGTCATTCTCCGATGCTGTCAGCCGTCCTTTGATCGTAACGATCTCGCGTTCAAGGCGCTCTTTTTGCTGGTCGTTCCGCTCTTTGAAGGAATCAGAGTCGGCAAGCATTTGGGTCAAATTGTGAACCTGCTCAGCCAGTTCGTCACGCTCTGCCTCCAGCTGGTCGAGCTGTTGGTCCTTGGATTCGATTTCGCGTTGTTGAGCAGCCTGTCGTTCCAGAGCGAGCTTTGCCTGTGCGCGCTCTGCCTCAGCATCAGCGTCCAATTTCTCCTCCTCTAACCTCAGATACTTCTCGCGAAGAGTATGCAGTTCAGTTTGGTACTCTTTTCGCTCCCTTTCGTGAGCTGCCCGCGACTCGGTCGCTCGTCGCAGAACATCCTGTTGAGCATACATCTCCTTTTCAATAGTGATCTTTGACTCGTTCAACGCATCATAATCACGCTTGAGTGTGTCGTATCTGTGCTCACCAAGCATCTCAACGTCATCACGGGACTGTCTTTCTCGACTGAGTTCTTTTTGTACTGTGAAGAGTTCGCCCTTGAGTGCCTCGATTTGCTCTTGCAAGAGCTTGCGGCTCTCGCTGTACTCGGCGTCCTCGGAAATTTTCTCCTCAAGAAGACGCTTCGCATCCGCTGCCTCACGCTCGACCTGTTGTTTCTGCGAGCGCATAGCGTCCAGCTCTGCATTCGCGTCACGGAGGCGGCTCTGGAGGCTGTCATGCTTAGAGGCCAATGTTCGCTTCTCGTCGTCAAACAAACGGCGGTCGTTTTCGTAGTTTTTCAAGTCAGTCTTCAAGATTGCCAACTCGCTTTCCTTGCGCCTGATGAGATCTTCATAGCTTGTGGACGTAGCAGATAGGTCTGAAATCTGTTGGCGAATTTGGCGATTCTCGTCCAACAGTTCCTTAATCTGTTTTTTGCCTGACTGTACTTCTTTCTGCGAAGCTGCCAGCTTGATGTCAAGATCCTGGTCCGTCTTTAAAAGCTTTGCTTCAAGATCCTGTAGCTTTCTCTCTTTCAAAGAAAGATGGCTTTGGAGCATCTTCACTTCCTGGCTTAATGACTCCTCCGCCTCAGTCCGTTGTGTCCTGATGGCTTCGAGTTCCTTGATTTGTTCTTCCAACCGAGAACTTTGCTCCTCTAGCTCTCGTGCTTCGGTTTCAAGCCTGCTAATGATCTGTCCGGCTTGTTCAAGCTCCCCGCGCAAATGCTCAGCCTCGTCTTCGGTTCTCCTCTTAGCTTCCATAAGAGCGTCCAGTTGGTCTTCGAGTTGGTCTTGATCCTCGATAGCGCCGGCTAGCTTCTCGGCGAGCTCAGCCTCACGCAATTGAAGGCGCTTGAAGATCTCCTCTTTATCTAATGCTAGCGCACGCTCACTCTCCAAGGTTTTCTGGATGCGTTGGATGTCCATCTCTGCGCGTCTGCGTTCATCCTCAACCCGCTGTTTTTCGGCGGCCTCTTGCTGCATTTTTGCTTCGAGTTGCTGGATCATTTCATCGCGCTTTTTGACTTCGGCAGCCTGGCGTGTTGCTCCAAGCATAGGCTTCATACGGGTGAAGAGCCTCCACCATGGATTAGCCTGCATGTCAAGGTAGACTTGGAAATTGCGCTGGATGATTCGCGTAGCTTCGGCACGATAAAGGCGCTTATGAGCCTGGCGACGTTGGACAAAACCACGGGCAACCGACTGGAAGCGGATCATGATATCTCGGATAAGCGCATCGCGTTGGTCTTCGAGTTCGGCAAGGACTCCAGCCCGGAAGAAGACTTTGGTGATACCCACTCGATAGAGTGAACGGTCAAGGTTGAGCTTATCAAGAATCATGCTTGCCGCTACTTGACCCTCAACATAGCCCTTAGGAAGATCTTTGCACAAAACCTCGTATCTTTGGCGGAATTCCACAAAAGGCAGCCGATTAGGGAAACCAGTACGCGCGATACGGATTCCTTCCAACACACCATTACAGCGCAA